GAGCCTCGGCTTCCTCATCCTGAGCAGGAGATGATGGCGGTGGGGGTTCAGGAGGAAGCCCCCGTGCTGATCCCAGGTGACTGGAGACTGCTGTCCCCTCCCTCCCGATGCGGCTCGCCCTGGGCGTGTGCCCCGGCAGCTGACAGCGTTTGGGGTTTGGCTGACAGCTGTCGCGTAGTCTCGCTGTTGATTGCACCTGCAGCCATTTCCAAAGTTACCATGTCACCTTCCGCACTTGCCAAACGCCAGCCGAAGGTCAGCCCTCCAGAGCCAGTGGCGGCTGGCCTCCAGCTCTGTCCAAACAGATAAAAATAGCCGCCGGCCTAGGGACGGGCCTTCCAGAGCCAGGCCGGCCGCTCTGCCGCGAGGGGCGTGGGGCCGCCGGGTGGAGGGCTGGGCCGCCGGCTCTGCGGTCAGAAAGCCGCCCCGAGTGCTTGTCCCCGGCCGCACCGGGCTTTTCTGGCAAGGGAGGTTCCCTTGTTGCACTTCAGGTCAAGTTGCTAGGGTTGTTATTTTTATTTTTAAAGTTAATTAATTGATTTTAGATAGAGAGGAAAAGGACCTTTCAGTTCGCAGGCCGACGCGCTAGCCACTGAGCCAAACCGGCTGGGGCTCAGATCAGTTCCTTAAAAAAAGCAACTGGCTAACGAAATGTAATGATGACACAAGCCCCGTTCACACTAGCAAGATGCTATGGACCTTCCAAAGCCCTTTCCTAAACCCTCGTGCATGGCAGCGGGGCAGTGCTGGGAGGTTTTAGGAGAAAAGCTGCTGGCAGTTCACCAGAGGCACTCCCTCCACCGCGAGGGCCAGGTCTCATCTGGTCATTCCCTCGTTCATTCATCCAGACATCGAAGCAGAACAGAGACAGTCTGAACGTAAAGCCCGTATGGTACACTGCCATATAGACAACAGTGGGTTTCCGTCCTTCATTTCTCTTACGGTTTTTCTTCTTCAAATTAGAAGAGGAAGTTTATTTAGAAAGTCACAGAGGTGGCAGAAGTGACCCAGCGGGGCTGCGTGGGCTCAGGAAAAAGCTATGGAGGCGGAAGCAGGGCCCTTGGCGCCTAGGAGAGGGGAAGGCAAAGGTACCGTACGCCTAGGGCCGTGGCTGGGAAACTGCGGCTTTGGCCTGTTGAGGGCGGCTCTTCACGAAACACACGGCCTGGGCGAGTCCATGTTGAAGAAGTGGCGCTAGAAGAAGTTTAAGTTTAAAAACTGTGGCTCTCCAAAGAAATGCCAGTCGTTGTCCTGTGGATATTTGGCTCTGCTGACTAATGAGTTTGCCCACCACTGGCCTGGGGGAAGTGAAGGGGGGAGGGAAGGCGCTGGGAGACCCTGGGAGGGAGAGCCATTTCTCCTTTGTCCCCCTGGCCCAGAAGTCTGTTTCCTGATCTCTGACAGGCAGAGCCTTTGGTGGCGCCACTGGGGAGGGGGGTGGGGAGGGGAGGGTGGACAGACTGCAGGTTTGTAGAGGAGGTTTTTCCTCATGAGAAACCACTGGACTCGGAGACTTTATAGCAGAAAATGCCGCTCCCTACTTTCTGGTGTGACGGAAAGAGCCCCAGGCCTGGCGACTTGCTGGGCCACCCCCTTTGCCTGGCTGGGCCTCGGTTTCCTCGTCCGGTAAATGGGATTTCTTTTCCCTGACTGCTTATTTGCCTCCTCATAGACAGGGCGTGCTGGCGGTGTTCTTATAATCAATCAGCTTCCCGGCCCCCCGACCCACTCAGCCCAGCCTCCCAAGGTGCCGGTGCCGGTCTCCGGGCACTCGCCTGGTGGTTAACCTCTAACCTAGTTCCTGGCAGGCAGCAGCTCCTTTGGCTGGTTTAAGAGAGTGGACTGAATATTCCTTTCGATTCTGCTCCTGTCAGAGTCCCCCAAAAGATAACAGAGATAAAGAGAGAGAGAGAGAGAGAGAGAGAGAGAGAGAGAGAGAGAGAGAGAGAGGAGCAGCCCATCAAGCCCGGGAGAACAGGAGGGGAGACAAGCAACGTTTGGGAGGTTGGGAAGCGGACGGGCGAGTGGGAACTGGCTCAGCAGAGCCAATTGGGCCGAGGCCCAGAGCAGCAGCGAGGAAGGCTGGGAGCCCCAGAGCTGCCCTCTTCTCCTGCTCCTTGTGGCCGGGGCTGCCCAGTTCTCCTCCAATAGGAGGCAGGAGGTTTGCTCCAAGAGGGAAAGGCCCATGGTCTCGGGCCTGGGGACTGATGGGCACCCTGGGGGCGTGGGACCTGTATTCCTAGCAGGAGGATAGGGTCTTTATAGGTGTTGAATCCTGAAAGTTGAACTTTTCCCCCAGACCAGTCCCAACAGTTCCCCCTTCTTCCCTGCCTGCCTTTCCTCCATGCAGGAGACCCAGGCACTTCCTCTAGGAGAACTGGACCAGCAAGGGAGGACAACTCTATAGATACTTGGGGCTCTCGCCAATTTGATTCAGTGGATAGAAGGGTCCCGGGTTCGATTCTGGTTAACGTACCTCAGTTGTAGGCTCTATTCCCGGCCCTGGTCTAGGCTCATGTGGGAGGCAACCAATTGATGTGTCTCACATCAATGTTTCTCTCTCTCTCTGTCTCTCTCCCTCCCTTCCACTTTCTCTAAAAATAAATGGGAAAATATATTTGGTGAGGATTAACAACAACAACAACAAAACTGTTATTCTGTGGAGCACTTGAGATTAAAAAAAGAAAAGATACTTGGGGTATCAAAACACAGACCTCCCAGAGTGCAGCTCAGGTCCACCAGCCTCACCACATTCTCAGCTCTTGTCATCAGCCCTTTTGGTCCTGCTCCTGGCCCTGGACAAGTAACCTAACGTTTGGGTACAGTTTCTAACAGGAAGGCGGGCCCCAGACCAACAAAGGGCCACAGGACACGTGGGAGAATCAGAAATCTCGTTCTAGGAGAAGAGAACTTGAAAAGGCTGCCGTTAATCCCCTCATCGAGGTTGGCCAGGATGTCGCACGCAGGATGCACAAAAAGGAGCTTTCGCAGGCCAGAAACAGGCTCTTGGGCGGTAAGCACAGGGTGGCAGAAGTGAAAAACTCCCCGGAACAATTAGAAGAGAAGGCGGAAGGCACTAAACAGGAAGTAAAAGAAAAGGGACAGGAAGTAGGAGCGGGAGAAATGTGTACGCTGGTGGGCCAGGCCGGAATCTCTACATCCACGTCTTAGGGCTTCTGGAAAGAGCAGAGGAAAAGGAGGCAGGGAAACCATCGAGGAAATACCCGAAGACCAAGTCCCGGATGCGGGTTTCCACACCGAAGGAGCCCAGCACGTCCCCAGCCTCACTGTTGGGAGCAGACCCGCGTCTGAGCTTATCCCTGTGAGACGGCGAGGACAGAGGACAGAGAAGATCCCTTAAAGCTTCCAGATACGAAAGAAGCAGGCCACCCACCAAGTGCCAAGGGCCAGAATGGCTCTGGCTCCGGCGTCCTCGGAAGCCACGACAATGGCACCAGGCGTCCAGCACTCCGAAGGAGAAGGTTTTCCCTTCTAGAATTCCGCCGACGGCCGGTCCAGGGGGTCACATGTGAGGGCAGAAGACCGTTCTAGAACATGTCTGGCTGCAAAACATTCACCTCCCTGAAGACCTCGTCTTAGCTGCTCCAGGATGTCTCCCCCGGAAACAGAGCACACCGAAGAGCCACGCCGCTGGGGACAGGACACAGATCCGCGTTAGAACCCGCGGGCTCTGGGATGACGGGGACGAGGGCGCCTGCAGCCAGAGGCAGGACAGGCATGTGGGGGGCGTGGGCACGTGCCGGCCATTGTGCCCCCTCTTCACTGGGTAAAGCTGCTGGAGGACATGCCCGGCCAGACACGGAGGTCACCGAGAGAGAGGGAGCCACCAAACTAGGGAGCAGATCTCAAGGAAGGCCGCGGGAACGGAAGGGCGTCAGCAGAGGGCGGGCCCAGAGTGACAGCTGTGCAGGGGCCCAGAGAACAGCCCCTCTAGGCGACAGGAGCGGGGAGGCCTCCAGCAGAGATGTCGCCATGGAGAGGATCAGCCCTTTACATTAGCGGGGAAACTGTGAGGAGGAATGGGAGGAATCAGCAGCGGTGCAAGGAAGACAAGTCAATGAGAAACTCATTCACTCCAGGAAAAAAAAAAAAAAGGAAAATCTAGTCTAACCCAACCCTGACTTGTGGATAATGATCTCAGACTCTTTTTTTTTTTTTTTTTTTAAGATATATCTTATTGATTTTTTTTTACAGAGAGGAAGGGAGAGGGATAGAGAGTTAGAAACATTGATGAGAGAGAAACATCGATCAGCTGCCTCCGGCACACCCCCTACTGAGATACATGCCCTTGACCAGAATCGAACGTGGGACCTTTCAGTCGGCAGGCTGACGCTCTATCCACTGAGCCAAACCGGTTAGCACATCATCTCAAACTCTTAAAAACACTGAACATGAATCTCCTTGGGCCCTAGTGAGAGGTTGGGAGGAGGGCAGTGGACGGGATGGCCACCTAAGAGCATTGATTCCTCTTCGCTCAGGGGAGGAGGGCCACAGGTGGTGGCTCAGAGGGGTGACTCACAAGGTGGCACACACATTGCTCGGAACGTCGGAGGTGCTGGCCGGATCTGGAGGGGGTGGGGCAGGCAACCCCTACTTTTTTGTTATGCATCTTTTTGTTTTCAGTTCTAAAACGTTGGCACACACAGGAAAGTGCGTGAACGGTACCCCTGCAGGTGAACACGTCTAAAGGATTAGGGTGTGACCCTCCCTCCCTGATCATACGCTTGCACCCCTCTTCCAAGCTTCTTAGGGTTCCTAAACGCCGGGCATATCACATGAACGTTAATTTCAGATGAAAAATCTAAAGGGTGGGTCTGGGGCCGGCTCCTGCTTTGTGGGTGTGCCGGCCCCTTCCTGGGCCTCCGTGGGAAATGACTGCGTCTCCGCGTGGGCCTTGGTTCTGTGGGTGCTGGGCGCCCCGCTTCCTCCCCGGCCGCCCGGCACCCTGGCTCACGCGTGCTGCCCCGTTCCCTCCGCAGGCCCAGCATGTCTGGACTCCACCTGGCGAAGAGGGGCCGCGAGCACAAGAGGGTGGACGTGCACAGAGACTTCACCGTGGCTTCGCCGGCCGAGTTTGTCATGCGCTTTGGGGGGGACCGGGTCATTGAGAAGGTACTGATGGGGTCCCATGCTCTGGGCGAGGCCAGGTAGGGTGGGGTGGAGAGGAGGACGGGGCCAGCCTGTGCTGGGGGCCGGGATCCTGAGCTTTTCCCAGCAGGTGAAGCAGTCACCTCTCACTCAGGGCTGTTGTGAAGATCAGTCAGCGATGGAAGGGCCGTAAGATACAGGGGCGGGCAAAAATAAGTTAATAGTAATAATATAATAATAAATAATATAGTAATACAGAAATAATAACAGAATAGACTGTGTTTCACATACTCACCGCTGTAAACCTACTTTTGCCCACCCCCGATAGGATTTGCTCTTGCCAGTCAGGGCTTTGAAGCCAGGCGCCTAGTTGTTTTAGGAACTAACGCCACATAGTAAGTCTGTGATTCAGACAAGAATTGAGACCAGGACTGTTCTGTTGTGCTCTACTGCTGGGGACAGCCAGCATTACTGCCTTTCCTTTCCTTATTACATTGGGGCCCTTTAACCGTCAGCATGCAGAGGCAGCATGGTGGGGGTGGACTTCAGAGCTCAGGCCAGACCAAGGAGGGCTCAGGTCCCAGCTCTGCCACTTACTAGCTGTGTGACCTTGGGCAAGTGCCTTAACTCCTCTGAATTTTAGTATCTTCACCCTCAAATAGGGATAATAATACAATCTCTTTCAAAAGGCTATTGCGTCCATCCATCCACCTACCCATCCAGTCATCCATCCATCCATCCATCCACCCATCCATCCATCCATCCATCCACCACCCATCCTGTCATCCATCCATCCATCCATCCACCCATCCACCCATCCATCCATCCATCCATCCACCACCCATCCTGTCATCCATCCATCCATCCATCCATCCATCCATCCATCCACCCATCCACCCACCCACCCATTCACCCATCCACCCATCCATCCAGTCATCCATCCATCCATCCATCCATCCATTCAGACGTAGAGCACCCGCCCTGTGCGGGGCTGTGTGCTCCAGGTGCTCCAGCAGCCTCGGCAGCCATGAGCTGGACCCCGGGTGGCACGCAGCCTCTGGTGCAGGTGGATGTGCAGCCATAGCCCGTCCTCCGTGTCCTTGTCCAGGTGCTCATCGCCAACAACGGCATCGCCGCCGTGAAGTGCATGCGCTCCATCCGCCGGTGGGCCTACGAGATGTTCCGGAACGAGCGCGCCATCCGGTTTGTCGTCATGGTGACTCCAGAGGACCTCAAGGCCAACGCAGGTATTTGGGCCTTCACGCCCTCCCCTCCCACCCGCCAGGCCCTGTCCTCACCTGCCCTCACCTGCTCCTGCCCGGGCAAGTCCGTTCTGGACCCAAACAGACTTCCAGGCTGGCTCTGTCACGAGCCTGCAGTTATTTATCTTTTCTTCTTCATCTGATTAAAATGTCTGCTGGCATCAAGAATGACCTCTGTGTCCTAGAAAAGGGCGGATGGTTCGCGTGCAAAGCGGATTCCCATCTGTGAGCGCTGCCCATGTGGCCACAGATCGCTGTCTCTCGCTCCAGACGTGTTTTCTTGCAGATGGATCCAATGATCTGATCTTCCATTTGCCTATTCATTAACTCTCTTTCTGTCTACTAACCTAGATCATTCTACTAGTGTTCGTATTAGACAATTTGCTTATTATCCAGAACAAGGTATCTGTGTTCAGACCCTTCTCCACACAGCGGCAAACTGACCTTTTAAACCCAGCTCAGGTCCTGTGCCCCCTCCTGAATGCCCCAGAGCCTGCAGTGCTGTCCTCGGCACCAGCAACCTCAGTCCTGTCCTCTGAACCCACTCTGCCCTGTGGGCACAGGCCCCGGGCTCTGCCCTGCGAGATGCCGCCTCCTTTGAACTCACGAGGACCGGAGAGGACAGGTTTGATGGTTGGCTCCCTTTTCTAGGTGAGACAGTTGAGGCCCGGGACATAAGTCCCTCACCCAGGGTCATACAAACGGTGAGCGACTGTTCGTTTTCCAAGGGAGAGCAATATGTGTGTGAGGCCGCTAAGAACAGCTATTTCGGATGCATTGATTCAGTCCGAAGCCCAGATAGTGTTTGGATTAGGATACAAAAGCAAGGGGTACTTATGAGTGCAGATTCTATAGTGATGCTAATTCTAAACAGTGTTTTTAATCTTCAGCCCGGTAGTCATAATAACCGCTTTCTTGTCATCTCTGCAAACAGTTTCATTTTTTGCAGCACAGTGTTGTCCTGGGCCCAGTCCAAAGGTCGTTTTGCCCTTTTCAACATTCCAAAGATTTGAGACAGAAGATGTGTAAGGAAGTTCCTCTCTCTTGGCAGCTCTGGCTCCATTTTAAAGTGGCTCCGTTTATTATTATCGTATTTTAGCCAGGACCGGTTTGGCTCAATGGATAGAGCGTCGGCTTGGGGACTGAAGGGCCCGGGTTCGATTCCGGTCAAGGGCATGTACCTTGGTTGCGGGCATATCTCCAGTAGGGGGTGTGCAAGAGGCAGCTGATCGATGACTCTCTCTCATCGATGTTTCTAACTCTCTATCTCTCTCCCTTCCTCTCTGTACAAAATCAATAAAAAAATATATAAAAAAAAAATATTATTATCGTATTTTATTTATTTTTGTTAATCCTCACCTGACAATAACCCCCCCCCTCCCATTGCTTTTCACAGAGAGTGGAAGGCAGGGAGGAAGAGAGAGAGAGAGAAAGAAACATCTATGTGAGAGAGACACATAGACTGGATGCCTCCCAAACGCACCCCAATAGCGGGTGGGAAGTGAACCTGCAACCCAGGTACATGCCTTTGACCAGGAAGCAAACCTTGGATCCTTGGGTGCATGGGCCGATCCTCTAACCACTGAGCAACACCAGCCAGGGAAACTTATTATTTTGACATGACAAGGGGCAGGGGAGTTGGTCCAGGACACAGTGTAAATGGGTGAGCTAAAAAGGTCTGGAGCTCTGTTATCGTGACTGGCCTGCACACTCCCAATGTGAGCAAGAAGGCCTATTTTATGTTTGTTCTTTGCCGTGGTTAGAAGCACACAGTATACAGTATATCTTCTTTTTTTTTTTAACCTTCACTGGAGGATATGCAAACATTGTATTTTTCCGTGGGAAAACAGTGCGAAGATAAGAGTTGAGGAGTTTGAAATAAAACCCTACCTCTAATCTCACCACTTGATAATGTGCTTCTTTCTTTCTGTTGTTCCCTCCAGGCTTAGTCCACATACACATAATATATTAAATATATATAATTTATTTCAGAGAGGAAAGGAGAGGGAGAGAGAGAGAAACATGGATGATGAGAGAGAATCGTCCATCGGCTGCCTGCTGCTCAGCCCCCACAGCGGGGGACAAGCCTGCATCCCGGACATGTGCCCTCACCGGGAATCGAACCTGCTTCATAGGTCGATGCTCCGAGCCTCACCGGCCGGGCTGAACACACTTCTTTTTCCATAAATAAAGTCCCGTTCAGTTTTCTTCTGATGATCACACGCGTCTGTCCGGTGTCGCCCTAGTCTGGTCCCGGTTACGCTCTCATTGGCCGGATGTGGGTGCGTCTGCAGCTCTCCCACGGCCGCCTCCAGTCTCTGCTCTTCTTCCTCTTCTCTCCCTTCCTCCAGAGTACATCAAGATGGCAGACCAGTATGTCCCCGTCCCCGGGGGGCCCAACAACAACAACTACGCCAACGTGGAGCTGATCGTGGACATCGCTAAGCGGATCCCCGTGCAGGTGGGTCAGACGGCGCCCCAGTCTGCCCCGGGGGGGGGGGGGGTGCCCTGGGCCCTGGGGCAGCTGGAGTCCGCCCTCGGGAGGGTCCTAGACTCTGAAACCCACGGCTGATGTGACCCAGCAAAGAGCTCTTGGTGTGCAATGTGCGGGGGGCGGGAGTTGGGGTTGGGGGGTGGGAGGAAGGTAGATGGGGGGCTGCTTGAGAAGGAAGATCTCCGTTCTTGCCTCTGTGTTTGCAGGCGGTGTGGGCTGGCTGGGGCCATGCTTCCGAAAACCCCAAACTCCCGGAGCTCCTGTGCAAGGACGAGATTGCTTTCTTAGGTAGATGTGTCTCCCTCCGATGCGGGGGGGATCGGGATGTGGACGGGACTCACCTCCGGGTCCAATTCTCTCCACGTGCAGCCCTGTGAGGTGGGGGGTCAGTCCGGTATTTCCACGTCACACATTCATGGTCAGGAGCAAGCCAGTCCAGCGGGAGGGCACCTGGGACATGGAGCCATTACCATGGTTTCCATGGTGGAATGATGCTGGGGCAAGGTGACCTCTGCTCATGTTCCTGTTGGTACAAGACAGCAGCCGAGTTCAGATTTATCGCTAGGTTTGGAGGTCACAGTTTTTCTAAGGCCACACCTTTTAGGGGGGCTGTTCTCAGGCCTTTGGAATGCCTTACCCCCTGGGGACCAGAGCCCCTCATCTCTGCTTTTTATTAGGTAAAACGATGCTTGTTAGCTGTCTGTGGCTGCATTTGTAAAGTCTGTGTAATTATGCTGACATCCTCGCATGGTTTAGGGCAGTGGTCGGCAAACTCATTAGTCATCAGAGCCAAATAGCAACAGTACGATTGAAATGTCTTTGGAGAGCCACATTTTGTAAATTTAAACTTCTTCTAACGCCACTTCTTCAAAATAGACTCGCCCAGGCCGTGGTGTTTTGTGGAAGAGCCACATGCAAGGGGCCAAAGAGCCGTGTGTGGCTCGCGAGCCGCAGTTTGCCGACCACTGGTTTAGAGGAACCATTCAGCACTCACTCACCTCGGGGCCACCACACAGACTTACGTATGAAGCAGCTCAGTGCACGTCAGCGCCTGCTATCCCAGAGCTTAGCCTGGGGACCTGTGCCCACGATGCTGTTTCTGTCCATGGTCTTTGATTGGCTGTCGCACAGGATTCTCCTTCTTCCCCTTTAGCTTCTCCGGAGGTTAGTGGCCCAGCCCACAAGCTGGCAAGCTATACAGCTCACAGGCCGAGTCCGGCCCACTGCCTGCCTTCTGTAAATACAGTTTTGTTGAAAAGCCCTGCTCATTCACTTACGGATTGCCCATGGCTGCTCTCATCCACACTGGCAAAGTGGCATGTTAGTGGCAGAGAGCAGCAGCCCACACAGCTGCGTGTATTCCCCGTCTGGTTCATCCGCTCACCCATGGCCTAGTTTTTTGGGTGCTGGCTGCCCACCCGCCCCCCCCCCAAAGTGAATTTTGCGTGTGGCCCGCAGTTTAGGGCGCACAGTCCGGGCGCACAGTCCACGTGTGCGGAAAGGTGACTGATGACAGAGCAGATGAACAGACTGTTTGCTCCCTCGACTTGACCTTAAACTCCTCGAGAGTTTGGCCCTGGGCATTGTTCTCTCCCTGAGCACTCGGTCAGCCCTCGCGGTGAGGGGCTTGTGGCTGACTTTGTTCTCCTCCCCCTTTTACCTCACCCCTTAGGCCCTCCCAGCGAGGCCATGTGGGCCCTGGGAGACAAGATTGCCTCCACCATCGTGGCCCAGACGCTGCAGATTCCAACCCTGCCCTGGAGCGGAAGCGGTAAGGGACCCCAGGCTTCACACGGGGACGCCTCGGCCATGCTGCTCATGTGAACAGGGGGTGGCAGAGTGTGCGTCCTAACGCTTTCATTTACAGATTTAAAGTTATTGAACACGCGGCACAGTTGCGTTTTAGACAACTTAGAAAATAAATGTGACACATGCAGAAAAGAAATAGAAATCGTTTATAATGCTATGGCTCCGGGTTGAACACTTGTTGCATTTTAGGTATCTGTCTACCTTCCCAGCCTTTTTTCTAAGCACATCCTTTAAAAAACCCAGAGAGTTTATATTTGCTAGTTTGGGATTTATTTTTCTCTCTAATCTTTCTCTGTCAATAAATATACTTTGCAACATTTAAAATGCCTGCCTAGGATTATGTCACACAGAGAGAGGTACCATGATTTACTTAACAGTCCTCTCTAGTTATACATTTAGGATGTTTCCAGTTTATTTTGTTCTAACTTCAAAACCACTAACAGCCATGGAGGCTTGATCACCTCTAGTTTAAATCTCTATGTATGTTTTAACCATTTCCTTGGGATACATTTCTTATAGTGCGGTTTCTAAGATATATTTTTATATAAAAATAAACAAAAAAAAGTCTTAGGACTTTTCTGTTCAATTTGATTTTTTTCTTCTAAAGATTGAATTTTAAATTTGGGACGGGAAATGTTTTTTTCTTGTTGTTGTTGTTTTTTTTTTAAACCTTCACAGGGTATTGGAAAATGATGATTCACATATTAATGACTCCATAGGGTGGAACTGGGATTTTTTATTTTATTTTTTGAAGATTCAGGTTAATGTGGCATTCGGTGTGAATTTCTTGTTGTTTTTTAGAGAGAGTGGAAGGGAGGGGGGAAACAGAGAGAGAAACATCGATGTGAGAGAGGCCCATAGAATGGTTGCCTCCCACCTGTGCCCCGACCAGGGCTGGAGATTCCACTGACAACCCTGGTTTGTGGCCTTGACCAGAACTGAACACGGGACCCTTCAGTCCGTAGGCCGAGGTCCACTGAGCCAAACCGGCTAGGGCTCAGTCTGAATTTCTTAAGCTTGATTTCCCATTCAGGGTTGAGAAAATGGAAAGCCATTCAGTAACTAAGCTGAAGGACTGCGTCCGGAGGCCAGGCCTAGAGCAGCTCTGGCGAGTCAGGGCCTCGCAGTCTCTGTGTTGTGTGTGCCCTGCCATCCGTGGACGATTCCACTTCCTTCCGACTCCCCAGGCCTGACGGTGGAGTGGGCAGAGGACAGTCTGCAGGAGGGGAAGAGGATCAGGGTCCCGGAAGACGTGTACAGCCAGGGCTGTGTGAAGGACGTAGAGGAGGGCTTGCAGGTAAGCCAGGGCCTGGGGGGCACCGGGTGCCGGGACACCCCCCTGTCCTGGTGGCGGGGGACACATCTAACTTCTGAAGGGGGCCGTGTGCCCTCTGCCTCCCAGGCAGCAGAACAGATTGGCTTCCCGCTGATGATCAAAGCTTCCGAAGGCGGTGGCGGGAAAGGGATCCGGAAGGCGGAGAGCGCCGAGGACTTCCCCATCCTGTTCCGGCAGGTGAGCGCGCCTGCGCGGTTCTCCGTCTTTGGGAATAGTCTCTACTCGTGTGCTGGCCAGCAGACTCTTTCTTCTTCTTTTTAAACGGTTTAAATATATTTGTGTTGATTTCAGAAAGAAAAGAAGAGGGAGAGGGAGAGAGAAACATCAGTGATGAGAGAGAATCATTGATCGGCTGCCTCCTCTAGGCCCCGCACTGGGGATTGAGCCCGAAACAAAATCAAAATTTTAAGCAGATTTTTGACTGCAGGTACATCCCCAGTGGGGGGGGTGCAGGAGGCAGCTGATTGATGTTTCTCCCTCATCGATGTTTCTAACTCTCTATCCTCTCTGTAAGAAATCAATAAAATATATCTTTAAAAAAATGTTTTCAGAACCCTGACCCTAACCCTAAAAATAAATAAATAAATAAATAAATAAATAAATGCTTTCAGTTGTAGTTGGTGTACAATATTATATTAGTTTCAGGTTACAACATAGTCATTAGACATTTATACGATTGATGAAGTGATCACCCCGATAGGTGTCGTACCCATCGGGCACCAGGGCAGCACTAATTCTCAACCCCTTTAACTGTTGGCAGCACCTGAAACTCCTAACCAGTTAGTCCCCAACTCTTGACAGCACATTGTCTGTAGGAGATGGGTTGTGGGAAATGTCACTGTCTGTGTTATGTATTTCCACACCATTGGATGTAAGACACCGAGAATGTCATGTTTTGAACATGTTACCTGAGACTAGAGGACCATGGACATCACCGCCACCGACTCCGGCCTCTGCAGAGAACTTCCTGTCCAGCGGCTCTGCCTTCCCGCAGGTGCAGAGCGAGATCCCGGGCTCCCCCGTCTTCCTCATGAAGCTGGCCCAGCGCGCCCGGCACCTGGAGGTGCAGATCCTCGCTGACCAGTACGGCAGCGCCGTGTCCCTGTTCGGGCGCGACTGCTCCATCCAGCGGCGCCACCAGAAGATCATCGAGGAGGCGCCTGCCACCATCGCCACCCCGGTCGTGTTCGAGTTCATGGAGCAGGTGGGCTCTGCGGGGCTGGGTGTGAGGGCAACCTAGGGGCCGGGGGGCGGTGGCCGTCCCAGCTCAGAGCCAGCGAGAGCTCCCCGTGTCCGAGGTGCTAACGTGGGTGCCCAAGAGGAAACCGGGGGGCCCCTCGTGGACGGGATCTCAGCCAGTCGACGGGAGTATGAGCTGTGTGGTCCCCGAGGAACGGACCCAGAGCAGTCCCCCATCTGCCTGTGGTGGGGTCTGAGAAGCAGTCTCTGTGCCTCGGCAGTGCGCCGTCCGCCTGGCCAAGACCGTGGGCTACGTGAGCGCGGGGACGGTGGAGTACCTGTACAGCGAGGACGGCAGCTTCCACTTCCTGGAGCTGAACCCCCGGCTGCAGGTGGAGCATCCCTGCACGGAGATGATCGCCGACATCAACCTGCCGGCCGCCCAGCTGCAGGTGAGGAGACGGCGCCGGCCGGCCGGGCCCTCTCCCGGCCCCTCTGGACCCACTGTCCGCGGGGAGTAGCACTGAGAGCCGCCAGCGCGCGGAAGGTTCCAGATGTGTTGGTCGCCTCTGCCTGCCATGTGGTCCTTTGAATAACAGGCAAAAGTCATGGACCTGCTCCTGGAAAAGTACATTGTATGTGATTTCAGGCCTTTGTGGACCCGCAGTGCCCATTTGAAGTCCTAAAGAAGTGTTTCTTTCTTTCTTTTTTTTTTTTTTTTAAATAAATGTTTTTATTGATTTCAGAGGAAGGGAGAGGGGGAGATAGAAAAATCAATGATGAGAGAGAATCATTGATTGGCTGCCTCCTGCACGCCCCCCACTGGGGATCGAGCCTGCAACCCACGTGCCCGTGACCGGAATCAAACCTGGGACCCTTTGGTCTGCAGGTCGACGCTCAACCACTGAGCCAAACCAGCCAGGGCTGGAGGAGTGTTTAACCTTGTTTTGCATTATGGTCCCCCCTAAGGAGCCTTTTTAGATATTATCCCCCCCAACTTCCCCAGTGAGATCTTAATGTCACAGAATGGTAGATGCGTGTGTGCTTTATACATACACAGAGTAAGATGTTTTTCAGCCCCAAGAGCAGGTATTTGTCCCCGTGGGGGCAGCATCACCCACATTGAGAACTTGTGAGCAGCCGCAGGAATGCCCGCATTCATTGGATCGCAGTTTTTTTTAAATTAGTATCTTCTTCCTTCGCTTCTCCTGCCACCGTCCGGCATTTTGTTGTGAGCATTTCAGGTGCTCGGTGCACCTGACATCGTGCACTGCGCCTCGTCCTCCAGCGCCCGCTCCGTGCTGGTGTTGGGGGCGGGGTCTCGTGGGACTGACCGTGGTGCTGGCTCTCCGGTTCCAGATCGCCATGGGCGTGCCACTGCACCGGCTGAAGGACATCCGCCTGCTGTACGGAGAGTCGCCGTGGGGGGTGACGCCCATCGCCTTCGAAACGCCCCCCAACCCGCCCCTTGCCCGCGGCCACGTCATCGCAGCCAGAATCACCAGCGAAAACCCTGATGAGGCAAGTTGTGGGGGCCCCAGGGCCTCCGCCATCTCCACTCTCCCAGGGTGAGGGGCTCCCACCATCAGCCTCAGACGAGACCTCCCCCCCAGGCTTCTTGGTTCACAGACGAGGAAACTGAGGTGCAGGAGGGGTCACTCACGGTTCAGAGACGCTGAGTGTGTGCCAGGCAGACCCTTCATGGGTCTCACGGCTCACGTTCCGCCAAGGGGTGTTACCCCAAATTACAGATCAAGAGGTTGGGGTGACTTGCCTGGGCACCTGGAACTCGGTCTCTCACCTCCAGGCACCTCTGCCAAGACATATGTCTCCATCACTCACTTCAAGAGCCTTAATCCCAGAGAGAAGGTCCAGATCCCCCTCCCCCTTACCAAAATTACCCTCAGGGGCAGGCCAGCCCCCAAAGGAATTCGTGTGCCGGCAGCAGCAGGCTAATGCTGGGTTTCCGTATCTGCTGGAATTGTCGTCATCCAGAATTGGAAACCCAGTCCTCTGTTATTTTAACCTTTCCTGTCGACAGTGCCAAGAGTATAAAATCAGAGGGAGGGCATGTATGGGAGGGGGTAGGCAATAGTATATGTACAAAGATAATAACTTAATAAAAAAATTTTTAAAAAAAGGAGTATAAAATCAGAATGTACCTTCACTCAGATCCATCCATGATCACTGTTCTCCCACATTATGTCTGGTGGGGATTGTTTTTTAAAAAATATTTTAAAATATTTTTATTGATTTCAGAGAGGTAGAGAGAAGGAAAGAGATAGAAACATCAGTGATGACAGAATCACTGCTCGGCTGCCTCCCGCACGCCCTGCACTGGGGATGGAGCCCGCACCCCGGGCCTGTGCTCCGACCGGGAATCGAACCGTGACCTCCTGGTTCCTAGGACGGTGCTCAGCCACTGAGCCACGCCGGCCGGGCTGCTGCTGTTTTGTAAATAGTTTAGGTAAAGTGAACTTACATGCACCGACATGCTCACGCGGCACACCCCCAGGCAGTGTCCAGACCCGCAGCCCTGAGGAGAGGTCAGCGTGTCCTGGATCGTGCTGAGTTTTGGGTGTGGCAGGCTCTTGGGTTTTCCTAGGGTTTAGTTCTGATGGAACTAGATCTGGAGCCATGATTCTTCCTTGTTGCTTTTTCTCTTCCGTCTGGGCTGCAGGGGTTCAAGCCGAGCTCGGGGACAGTCCAGGAGCTGAATTTCCGCAGCAGCAGGAACGTGTGGGGCTATTTCAGCGTGGCGGCCGCTGGTGGCCTGCACGAGTTTGCCGACTCCCAGTTCGGACACTGCTTCTCCTGGGGAGAGAACCGGGAAGAGGCCATCTCGTCAGTACCTCCCTCCCTGCCTCCTCCTCCCTCCTTCCTTCCTTCCTTCCTTCCCTTCCTCCCTCTCTTCTCCTTCCTTCTCTCCTCCTTCCGTCCCTCTCTTCCTTTAAGAATATCAGGGTTGGCCTGTGGCTCCAGGTGCAGTAGTGAGTTAGGAGATCAAGGGCCCGATTGACACCCAAGGACTAAGTCCGGCCTTTCCCTGGGTTTGAGGTCCTTAAAGTAAGATGACCTCTCCAAGGTCATGGCTCTTGAGCTACCGTGTTTTCCTGAAAATAAGACATCCTCCGAAAATAAGACCTAGCGCATGGAAAGATAAGACATCCCCTGAAAATAAGACCTAGGGCAACTTTGGGAGAAAAAATTAATATAAGACACTGTCTTATTTTCGGGGAAACAGGGTAAGTGCAGGTCCAACTTGCAGGAGATCCAAAGGTCGTTCCAGGTGACTCCAAAGTTTAAAAGGTGCAGAGGACTCCAGTTCTTTTAAAAAAGGTGTGTGTGTGTCTCCGGGGAACGCCTTTACATTTCAATCTCGTAAATAGTTCCCAGAGAAACCCGCATTCACAAAGAGGCTCCCAAATTCTGAGACACATCTTTTCTGCTTGACCTGGGGACAAAAAGGTCAAAACCAGTTCAATTGTAATTGAACATTCTGTGTCTGTGGGTAAGTGTCCCTCAGAGTGAAAAATCCCAGAGCCGTTTGGACATTTTATTTAGGAAACATTAAAATCCATCTGGCCCTGGCCCTTAGCCTTGAATTAAATTGAGTTTGGTGGTTTTGATAAGGGAGCAGGCTTTCTTTGCCAGCTTTGAATAATTAATTTTTTTTAAAAAAAGAACTGTTTTATTGATTTCAGAGAGGATGGGAGAGGGAGAGATAGCTAGAAACATCAATGATGAGAGTCATTGATCCACTGCCTCCTGTACACCCCCTACTGGGGATCAAGTCCATACCCTGACTGGGAACTGAATGGTGATCCCCTGGTTAATAGGCCAGCATTCAACCACTGAGCCACCCAGGCCAGGCAGAATAATTAGTTTTCATCATGCTCAGCAAAAAATTAAGACCCTTGAAGGTGAGAGAGGATTCGGCAAATAAGAATGAATGGGGGGGGGGGGGGAACCACTGTCCCAGCCGCTTCAGATGCAGTGGCCGGGCTTGTCTCGTGCCCTGGGATTGGGGTTTGAATAGGTCCAGCGGAGCAAGGCAGAGCGCCCGGCTGCGGTGAGTTGAATGGGAATCATGGCCACGAGTCCTGTTCGGAGCAGGTGACAGTGACTGATCGGTGGCTGGGCGTTCACGTGGCTGGTCTCGCTGTCATCCGCAGCGCCCGTGTGAAGTCGGGTTATTCCCCCATTTTCCAGATGAGGAAACTGAGCCCACGGTCACCCGGCCAGTCAGTGCTGAGCCGAGATGGACCCAGGGCGTCTGACTCGGGACCCTCCTGACTTCTGTGCCGTTGGCTCCTTGGGAACCGCGGGGAGCCCCGGGGGCGAACTGGGAGAACAGTCCGGTGCCTGTCCCCCTCCAGGAACATGGTGGTGGCCCTGAAGGAGCTGTCCATCCGGGGCGACTTCAGGACCACCGTGGAGTACCTCATCAACCTCCTGGAGACCGAGAGCTTCCAGAACAACGACATCGACACCGGCTGGCTGGACCACCTCATCGCCGAGAAAGTGCAGGTGAGGGGCTGCCCACGTCTCCCCTCCCGTCACCGGGAACCCTCCCCCGCAGCTCCCACAGATACCGAACTGCGGGGTTTTTCCTAGGCCGAGAAGCCGGATATCATGCTCGGGGTGGTGTGTGGCGCCTTGAACGTGGCCGACGCGATGTTCAGAACCTGCATGACGGACTTCCTGCACTCGCTGGAGAGGTGTGCGCGCGGGCCACTTTCCCCCCTTTTGGGGTGTGCGTTAGAGGCAGGCGAGGCAGATCGTGCGTTATCTGGGTGCAGACCAGCCACCGGGAGACGTGTGAACCCCTCCCGCACGCCCCCCTCCGTGGAATTCCTCGGAGAGACCTGGGCTGCCCTGGGAGAGGGAGGGGTCAGCATCCTCAAGGCCGAGGCAGCGAGTAAAGGCCCCATGGTAGTCTTCCTCCTCAGGAGCTCGGGGTCCTAGGATGTGTGTTCTGGTCTCGCCCAGGCCCTCACCCGAAGCAGCAGGTGCCTGGTGACACGGGTGGGCACGGGGGGGCGGGTGCCCGCTGTCCCGGGGGGAGAATCTCTGTGATCAGCCCATCAGACTCCCCGAGAGAAATGAAAGGACAGGTTTCTGGCGCTCGGTCATGCCTCTGAAAGGAGGTGGAATGACATCCGGGCGCTGGTTTCTCTCGTAAGCGGGCAGCAGGAGGTCCAACACAGAAAGATTTGAGAGGAAGCCAGGATGGGTTTAGCTTCCCGCAAAGCCCTTTGGAGAGTCCACACCCCTCAGACACGCTGTTTCCTTATGTCCTGAGGAATGCCGGCTTCCCCGGGACGGTCCTGGTTTGCTCGCCTTTTAATGAGACGGAGCTTTGTTGAGGACAGCCAGGCGCGCTGGGCCGCAGTCCTGGGACCTGGCCGCAGATTCTCAGTGGGAAACAAGGCTGACCGCCCATCTGTCTTCTCTCTCAGGGGCCAGGTCCTGCCTGCGGATTTCCTGCTGAACACGGTGGACGTGGAACTGATTTATGGAGGCGTTAAGTATATTCTCAAGGTAACGGCCTGGGTTTCTGGAGTCCCAGGTCCCCCATGTGCCCCTGGCGGAGCCACGTGTGGGAGGCAGAGCCCTGCGCCCCGTCTCCCTGCTGCCCGGGCGGCCCTGCGGGGGGCGGATGCCCAGTGTATTCCCAGGGGACACTGCTCTGGCTCCTGGTCGGGGGCGGGGCGGCTGCTGGTCGGGGGCCAGGGGACAAGCGACATCCTGGTGCAGGCGGGTCGCTGCTCCTGCCCCGCAGGTGGCCCGGCAGTCGCTGACCATCTTCGTCCTCATCATGAACGGCGGCCACATCGAGATCGACGCCCACCGGCTCAACGACGGCGGCCTCCTGCTGTCCTACGACGGCAACAGCTACACCACCTACATGAAGGAGGAGGTGGACAGGTGGGGGCGGCCCCGAGCGGGCGGGGCGGGCTCTGCTCCCCCAGCCGGCTCCTCACCCACTCGTGGTGACCGTCACGTGCCACCCGTTGGGGAAGGGGAGCCCCCGGGCTGCGTGCGGGGAGAGAGGCTGCAGCAGGCCTGACGCCCCTCCCTCCCCAGTTACCGCATCACCATCGGCAACAAGACGTGCGTGTTCGAGAAGGAGAACGACCCCACGGTGCTGCGGTCGCCCTCGGCCGGGAAGCTGACGCAGTACACGGTGGAGGACGGGGGCCACGTGGAGGCCGGGGACAGCTACGCCGAGATGGAGGTGAGCGCAGGGCAGGCCCGGGGGGGGGGGGGGGGGCAGCGAGGCCTCCCCTGGCCCGCGCCCCGAGGGAGGGCCGTGGCTTCTGCAGACGGGCCTCCCCCTTAGCCTGGCCCACCAGCTGCCCATTCCTGAGAGCCAGTGTGCGGGCTCAGCCCGGATCCCTGCAGTATTGAAGGCAGAAACGCACACTCCCTGGGAATGAGCAGGAACGGATGCATGGTAGTGATGGAGACCGTTACCAAGTCTTAAGCCAGCACTTCAGGGCGTCACTCCGTTTCCGTGCCGCGGGCCCCGCCCGGAGCCACTCACACAGGCCGGCCCTGGCGGGCTCCATCCCGGGTCTTCTTTCTGCTGTAAAACAGGTGATGAAGATGATCATGACCCTGACCGTGCAGGAGAGCGGCCGGGTGAAGTACATCAAGCGCCCGGGGGCCGTGCTGGAGGCGGGCTGCGTGGTGGCCAGGCTGGAGCTCGATGACCCATCCAAGGTGCACCCGGTACGTGGCGCCCGGCACGGCCGCCCGCAGGCCCAGGCGGCTCCGGCCTGGCCAGCGAGCCGAGCAGACGGGGCTCCTAGCTCGCCTCCCCCCCCCCTTCCCCCCCCCCCCGTGTCCCCGGAGCCAGCGCGAGAGGAGCACACGTGCCTCCTTTGCTCACCCCTCTCAGCGGCTGGGTCTCACTCAGAAGAAAACCCAGTTCCTCTGTGGACCTGCTAACCCCAAACCAGCTGTCCCCACTGCCTCTCTCGCGCTCCCCCTGCTTACATAGACCAGACCCCACCTGGGACCTGCACCCCCTTCCGGGAGGGCCTCCCCAGATGCTTTCTGGGCCCCCTCCTCCCTCTCGCGAGCGTTCTCGCAGACGTGCTCCGGGCACGGGGTACCCGGAAGAGGCAGGTCTTGCTGACTGTTCAGTAAGCCGGGCTCATCATTCATGTGTGGATTGCTCTTTCCTCTACGGCACAGGTGTCAAACACAAGGCCCGCGGGCCAAATCCGTCCCGCCAGGCCTTGCAGTGTGGCCCACACCGCGCTGTCATCACTGCACTCCGCTGCGTTTCCATCACAATGACAGTTTATGACTGTTCAGTAAACCATTCGGCCCGCGATTTAGGCTGGATTTTAGATTTTGGCCCCTTCTCTGATTGAGTTCGACACCCCTACTCTACGGCTCTCAGTGCATGTGCCCAGGAAAAAGCTAGAAACATTTTACTGTTGTTAATCCTCACACGAGGATATTTTTTTCATTGATTTTTTTTTTTCTTTAGAGAGAGTGGATGGAAAACAGAGGAAGGAGAGAGAGAGAAAAAAAAAAAAATCAATGTGAAAAAGGCACACCGTCCATGTGGCTTGCGTATTGGCAGGTCTGCCTCAGCCCCGCTTGTCTCGGTCGGAAGGCCACGGTGCCCTTGACCTCGGGTTCTCCTTGTGTCTCCTCAGGCCAAGCCGTTCACAGGGGAGCTCCCCGCCCAGCAGACGCTGCCCCTCATGGGGGAGAAGCTGAACCAGGTCTTCCACAGCGTCCTGGAGAACCTCACCAACGTCATGAGCGGCTACTGCCTGCCCGAGCCCATCTTCAGCGTAAAGGCAGGTCCTGTGTGAGGGGCGTGTGTAGTCCACACACATGGAGGTCCGTGTGATGAGCTAGAAGGATTCCACACACGTGTGGGTCCGTGTGATGAGCTAGAAGGATTTGCTCCCTGAGGTCAGAGGGCTCGACGTTTGATTTCACACATCGGGGAGCCTCTGTCTGACTGTACAGACTGTTGTCAATGTGACAGGTGGTGTTTTAGGATTTAGTTCAGCTCCGCACTGAGACTGTTCAGATAGTCAGTTAAGAAAGGAGTCGGTGTGGGTCACCCTTTTATTTTTTTAAAAGTATTTTTATTGATTTTTAGAGAGAGAGGAGGGGAGAGGGATAGAAAGAAAGAAACATCAATGAGACAGAAACATCATCAATCAGCTGCCTCCTGCACGCCCCCTACCGGGGATCCAGCCTTCCACCCAGGCCTGTGCCCTGACCAGGAATCGAACCGTGACCTCCTGGTTCAGAGGTCAGTGCTCAACCTCTGAGCCACACCAGCCGGGCACACGGCCGTGTGTTTTATCCTCACACCGTGCTGGCTGTGTGGGTGCCTGCAGGGGCGGTGGGACCTTCCTAGAGGGAAAACTGGGTGTCCCCTGTGGTCAGGGGCCCCTTCCTTCCACTCCGGACTGCCCCAGAGCCTGCTGGGTCCAGGTGTCCGGCTGCTCGAGTGCGTGGGGCCGGGAGGGGTTGAGCGTGCTGGGTGCCGCGTGGTGGGTGGCGGTGCCCGGCCCCGCCGACGCCGTGGTCCCGCCGCAGCTGAAGGAGTGGGTGCAGAAGCTCATGATGACCCTGCGGCACCCGTCGCTGCCGCTGCTGGAGCTGCAGGACATCATGACCAACGTGTCGGGCCGCATCCCCGCCCCCGTGGAGAAGTCGGTCCGCAGGGTGATGGCCCAGTACGCCAGCAACATCACCTCCGTGCTCTGCCAGTTCCCCAGCCAGCAGGTGGGTGCCCCGCCCAGCCCCGTTCCTCAGGCACTCAGCTCCCGGCAGGGCTGGGCTTCTGCCCTCCGATGGAGGTGAGCATTGTGAAAGCCATGCAGGGCCCGAGATGGTGGGCCCAGCCCTCCCTGTAGAATCCCAGCCTGCCCCGGGCAGCAGACAAGGAGCACGCAGTTGGTACACAGTGAGCGTTTTCCAGAGATGCTGGCTGAAGTGATTGAGGAGGTTGTGAGTTTTTCTTGCTAGTTTGTAGCTTGGATTCTCCTCCTTGAAAGGCGTCAGTCTTGCAGCTATGAGTACATGTGGTATTTGTTAAAAATGGAGAGGGAGCGAGAGATATTGTAGAAACATCAATGATGAGAGAGAATCATCATCGGTCAGCTGCCTCCTGCAAACCCTCCACTGGAGACAGAGCTGCAACTGGGCATGTGCCCCGAAGGGGAATCGAACCATGATTTCCTCGCCCCTGAGCCACACCGACGGGCCATTCTGGGCTCTTGAGTTCCTTGAGCCTTACACTGAGTGGATGGGCAGAGCTGTTTCAGGGTGGCCAGAGGGCTGTGGGGCTGGGATTCTCTTTTTCCTCGTGAGCCTCAGACGGGTCTTCCAGGGGAGCCTGGGGCCGGTCCTTGCAGTGACTTCTGGTGGCGACCGGATTGTGTGGCTGTGAGTGGCCAGACCCTCCTCTCTCCCGTCCAGATCGCCAACATCCTGGACTGCCATGCGGCCACCCTGCAGCGGAAGGCCGACCGGGAAGTGTTCTTCATGAACACACAGAGCATCGTGCAGCTGGTCCAGAGGTGAGTCCGGGCCCAGCGTGGGTGCCCGTGTCACTCTGAGCCATCCCCTGTCACACCGGGTGGTGCTGTGGGGTTCTCTGAGGGCCAGGCTCGACCTGGAAGATAGCACATGGGGTCGGGAAACCCTGATGACAGTCCTGGCACAGCCATTCCTAACGGCGGAACCCCAGGCGCGGCACCTGACCTCTGTGCATCTCAGTTTGCCTGTTTATAAAATGGGAATAAAATCACCTCTTGCACAATAAGTCATTCTAAGTGGATTAATCTTTTTAAATTAATTATTATTTTTATCTTTATCCAAGGATATGTTTTCATTAATTTTTTTTTTTTTTGAGAGATAGGAGGGGAGGGTGGGAGATGAGAGAGAGAAAAAAAATTGATGTGAGATAGAAACATCAATCCGTTGTCTCCCATACGTGCCTCAACTGGGGGATTGAACCTGAAACCATGACTGGGAATCGAACCAGTGGCCTTTTGGAGCACGGGATGATGCTCAGCCAGCTGAGCCACCGGCCGGGGCCAGGTTGTGCAGGTCTAAAGTCACATTTGAATAAACGAGCGCTATCGGTTCTTCTCTTCTGTTGTCACTGGGTGAGGCTGGGGTTAAGCTGGTTGCAGCTTCTCTAAACCTCCTGAGGAGCCGTGCTCCCTGTGTTCGGTGTGACTGAGGGAGGTGCTCTCGGGAACGTCCAGTTAACATTCGGCTTCACAGGGAAGCGAAAGTGACACAGATCGTTCGGCAAATGCCTTTCAAGTCTTGCTTTTTTCCAAACTGTCTTTACACGGTGGATGGTTAATTGAAAATTTTTCTTTTCACCCATGCATGCAAGGCTGACCCCTTTCAGCATCCCAACTCTGTAAGTGTGTTTCCTTCTCTCTGGGGACGGGGCAGGCGCCACCCCAAGGCTCGGGCGTGGCCTCTGGTGTGACGTGTGACCTTGGGCAAGTCACTGCTCTCTCTGCCCTGCAGTTCATGCAAATGACCCAACTTGCGCATCCGCCCCTCCCAGGCCTCAGGATCACAGGGCTGCATCCCCCACGTGCTCTGAGATCCTAAAAGCCCTGCCTGTGGCTATCCAGGCGCCAAGGGGGCGAGTGGCTCACCGAGGTGCCTCCCTCCCCCCCCAGATACCGCAGCGGCACCCGCGGCTACATGAAGGCGGTGGTGCTGGACCTCCTGAAACGGTACCTGCAAGTCGAGCACCACTTCCAACAAGGCAAGCGCGGCCGGCCCTGGTGACAGGCCCTGGAGACAGGCCCCGGGGTGGGTGGGCGGGCGGGAGCCTGACCCTGTGGCCTCTGTCCTCGCAGCCCACTACGACAAGTGCGTGATCAACCTGCGGGAGCAGCTGAAGCCCGACATGGCGCAGGTGCTGCACTGCATCTTCTCGCACGCGCAGGTGGCCAAGAAGAACCAGCTGGTGATCATGCTCATCGTACGTGGGGGAGGGCGCCCCCTTTCTCCCCCCACCCCCTGGCGGAGGTCTGTGGAGGTTTTCCAGGAAGGCCGGAGAGGAAGTAGTTTAGATCTTGCAGGTCATACGGACTCAGGCCGGACGCTCACAGCTGCCTCTGTGCACTGTGGGGGCTCATAGTCGTACGGTCAGCCCCTGGGGGGCTCATAGCCAGCACCCGCTGTGTGCCACGCACTGCTGACATATTGCTTCTCTGACCTCAGTTTCCTCATCTGTAAAATGGGGATCCTGCTGGCGGCTCCTCAAAGGGTTGGGGGAATTTGGGGAGATGAATGTCAAGGGCCTAGCTGCTTGCCTGGCCACAGGAAGCACCCATCACTGTTGGCCATCGGTGGTGCTGCAGGCTCGGGCTTACTGGGTGGTTAGGGTGTGTTTGGGGCGGTGAGGGAATGGCCAGGGTGATGGTGGGAAGGGGAGGGGATGTGCCTGGGGCTGTGCCAGGTGTCCTCAGAGGCCGGGCGGCTCTGTGGTTTCCCGGGGCAGCCATACTCCGGCTGAGGATGGTGCCTGCATGTTTCTGTCGGCGGACAAATGCCACCTGGATTCTGTTTCCTCCCCCGAAGGACGAGCTCTGTAGCCCAGACCCTTCCCTGTCGGAGGAGCTGACCTCCATCCTCAGCGAGCTCACGCAGCTCAGCAAGACCGAGCACTGCAAAGTGGCCCTCAGGGCCAGGCAGGTAGGGCTGTGGGGTGCCGTCCTCCCAGCATGCTGCGCCCCCACATGCACAGCCCCTTGCTGCAGTCCGTGTCCAGCCCGACGGCCCGGCCCTGGCTCCTCCCCTGTGAGGGCGGCTCACCCCGGCCCCTCATCCCTCCCCACAGGTCCTCATCGCCTCCCACCTGCCCTCCTATGAGCTGAGGCACAACCAGGTGGAGTCCATTTTCCTGTCTGCCGTCGACAGGTACGGCCACCAGTTCTGCCCGGAAAACCTCAAGGTGAGGCTGTCTGCATCCCCCCACCCTCCAGAGCAAGGCCGTGGCCAGGTGGGGCTGGGGGAGGCGGGCTCCGTAGCCCTCAGCGCCGGGCACAGTCACAGATGCCAGCGGTTCAGGCCAGCGCGGCCCGGGCTGCCCAAGGGGCTGCGGGGGCTCAGGCCTCAGGGCTGCCCGGGAAGGACGCGGTGGAGCTTTGGAAGCTGCCAGCCTCCCGTGGCTGAGTCTCGGCTTTATCTCCCCAGGGCTCCCTGCCCCCCTGCTCCGCTCATTGACAAGCTTCCAGGGTTGCCCTCTGTGTCTGGGAGCCCGTGCAGTCAGCTCAGCTGCTCCCACAATCAGATCTTAGGGGCCTGGGGCACTGGGGTGCTTGGCGATACCACCACCAGCTTCTCCTTGCTCCCTCCCCTCCCACACATCCACCTGTTGGTTAAATTTATCCAGGTTTACTTTTCTCTCTTTCCCTCACCATTTCCTGCAGAAATTAATACTCTCGGAGACGACCATCTTTGACGTCCTGCCCGCTTTCTTCTATCACGTCAACAAGGTGGTCTGCATGGCGTCCTTGGAGGTAAGTGGGAGTGGCCCTTCGAACCACATGGTCTCGCACGGCCACTTCCAGCATCCACACAGCTGACCCCGGCCACCCACCTTACAGACGTGATCGCATTCTACCAACAAGGTAGACCGTTACTGTTTCCATTTTACAGAGGAGAAATAGGCTCAGAGAGGCGAAGCAACTTGCTCGAAGTCACACAGCGGGGCAGTGGCAGGACGAGGGTTCACACTAGGTCTGCCCTTGTCCAGAGACCTTGCTGGCAACCCCTGCTGTCTCGTGTTCCACCCCTGCCTCCTCCACGCAGGAAACCGTTAAACTCAGCATCCAGGCTCTTCCTGGGCGCTGGTCACCTGGGCACCGTCTGGCTAGCACACACCAGCATTCCAAACTCCCAGAAAGAAAGCACATGTTGAACATAAACCATACAGTTTGCACACTTTAGGCACCATAAACTGTTTGTATAAGGCACAGTGGGAAATTTCCCCAAGTCCAAATTCCCAGATGTAACCAATAACTTTTTATATTGATTACCTGTTGAAATAGTGATATTTTAGGTGTTATGGATGAAATAAAGTTATCCAAGTTCTATTGACCTGATACCTTTTTATTAAGTGGTTTAAAATTGCATATGTGGCTTGGGTCCATTTCTATTGGACAGGACTAATCTAGAGCAGGAGTTGGTCACCGATAGCCTGTGGGCCACATCTGGCCCCCTGCTTGTTTTTATAAATAAAGTTTTATTGGAACAGCCACATCCATTCATTGACATATTGTCTGTGGTAGCATAGGTTGTGATACAGATGATATATTTCGCTGAAATATTTACTATCCAGCCCTTTGCAGAGAAGGTAACATTCTGAAATGTGAACAGAGTTGCTCTTAACAACGGCTCAGAGATAATTTAGAGGTCACTTCTCCAGCCTGGATTTTCTCGGGTTTCAAAGGCGCTGCCCTGAGACAGTGTCCTCTGTGCTCCCATCCCTCTAGGTGTACGTGCGGAGGGGGTACATCGCCTACGAGCTCAACAGCCTGCAGCACCGGCAGCTCCCGGACGGCACCTGTGTGGTGGAGTTCCAGTTCATGCTGCCCTCCTCCCACCCCAACCGGTACGCAGAGTCAGGGGAGCGGAGGCGGGGTGTCTGGAACTGAGCCTACCCCTCCCCGGGCTTCTAGGCCCGGGACTCCCCCAGAGAAACTGGCCGGAGAGTGTTCATTCCGTTTGGCTGCGTTCACTGCTTTGGGTTTAGCTGGGGACCCTGTTGGGACTACACTCCTATGCGTGCTTCATTCATTCATTCGTCGTTCGTTCGTTCGTTCATTCGGTCACTTGTTGAGCTCTTAGTCCTCAGCCCTCCCCTGACCTCAGTCCCCTCCGCCTCTAATTTGATGCCCCCTTTGGGGAAGCTCCGGTGCTGGCTCACCCAAGTTTCCAGGGCAGGAGCAGCTGCTGGGGCCAGATCCGCAGCAGAGCCTCACCCCCCCCCCCCCCGGCCACCCCCCTGCAGGATAGCCGTGCCCGTCAGCATCACCAACCCCGATCTGCTGAGACACAGCACCGAGCTCTACATGGACAGCGGCTTCTCCCCGCTGTGCCAGCGGATGGGCGCCATGGTGGCCTTCAGGAGGTTCGAGGAGTTCACCAGGTACCCGGTGTCTCCCTACCCTGCCCCCCCAGAGGGGCCGCGGCAGCTGCTTCTGACCCCCCCCTGTTCATGGGACACATGGGGTGGGGCGGCCCAATCATACCGCACAACAAATTAATAATCACAGTGTAATAATAGTGTAGCCAAGAGCGTGGCTCCGCGCTTCCTGTGGCTCGGACCTAACTGCTTGGCCTTTTTGTGCCTTAGTTCTCCCATCTGTATAATGGGAATGAGCAAAGGAACTGCTTCCTAGGGTCACCAGGAAAATTAAACGAGATCGCACCTTTTAATATTGTATTCAAAGCATCACTGACATGTAAATAACGTAAAAAGTGTCAGCGGTCAGTCCTACTCCAGTTACTGCCTCTTTTAACCCTTTCCTGCGCGTTACGCATCGTGCTTGGGCCATGTGTGTCTTCACTCCGGCACTAGGAGCTAGTGATGACTTCTGTTGTCCTCGGGGGACTCAGGCGTGGGGTGACTCCTGAGGGCTCCTCGCTGGTAAAAGGGGGGCCCGGCCGACGCCTCAGAGTTCAGACAGCCTTCCTTTTGTTTGTGATCCCAGATCACATGGGCTGGTCTTCCCTCTTGGGAGAGACCCCGTCCGGGAGCCTTGGGCCTGGTCGGGAACCCAATGAGCTTACAGAGTGGTGGGAGGGAGAAGGGAGGACTCGGGCCTGACCTCCAGCCCAGGCGGAGCAGCCCCTCAGCCCCCCTCTCTGCCCCGCGCCCCCAGGAACTTCGATGACGTCATCTCCTGCTTCGCCAACGTGCCCCGGGACGCCCCCCTCTTCAGCAAGGCCCAGACCTCCGTGTACTCGGAGGACTGCAAGGTGAGCGCCGGCGGGGGCGAGCAGGAGCCGGCGGGCCGGGCCCAGGCCCCTGACGCCGCCCCGTTCCCTCCCAGAGCCTCCGCGAGGAGCCCATCCACATCCTGAACGTGGCCATCGAGTGCGCCGAGCACCTGGAGGACGAGGAGCTGGTGCCGATCCTGCGGACCTTCGTGCAGTCCAAGGTGCCTGCGGGTGCCTCCGGCTCTGGCTCCCGGGGGGGGGGAGGACGGGCCCCGGACCTGCTGAGTGTCTCAGAGCCGCAGAGCTGGCTTCTCCCCCGAGCTCTGCTGCTCCCCACGGCCGTGACCGTGGGCAGCGGTGGCCGAGCGGGGCAGAGCCTCGGCTTCTTCCCCTAACACGGGTGGCATTTCTCTCTCCCGGCGTTGCCATGATGAAATGACAAAGTCTGTGCACTTAGCCTGTGCAGTGACGGAGTGACAGGCTTAAAACACCACTCAGCACAGCAGCACATTCGGCATGTAGTTGTGGGTTTGGTGGCGTGTGTGCTGGGATAGCCTAGAAAAGTCACAGTTGTGAGACAGTCACGTGCATTGACATCCGTGAATGCAGGTAACCGCAGGCTGCTTTTATAAACGTGGTGACCATTGCCAGTCTCACCCTGGCAGTAGGAACACTTGTTATGTATGCTCAGGGGCCTCAGCTGCAAGCAGATGTGGAGCAGCTTGGCAGGTGCAGGTCGGAGAAACAGCGGGAAGGTGCTGTGTGACCTCAGGCAGGTTACTGTACCTCTCTGATCCATACTTAGTATCCCCATCTCGGATGCTAAGATTCTTAGCTCACATATAATCACATCTACCAGCCACACTGTCTGGCTGCTAGTTCTTGACCTTCCTGGCTTGGCTCATCTCCTCTCCGACTACGGGTTTGCCTGTTGTGGACATTTCATGTAAATGGGATCGTTCAGTCTGAGGTCTTCTGTGACCTGTGTCTTTCCCAGCATAATGTTTTCAAGGCTAACCCACGTGGTAACACGTATCAGGACTTCTCCATCCCATGTTTCGGCTTCTCCATTCCATCGTGTGTTTGGTTTTTCACGCAGAAAAACATCCTGGTGGAGTACGGGCTCCGGAGAATCACGTTCCTGATCGCGCAGGAGGTGAGTCGATGCTCAGCGCCCCCTGCGTCTCCTCCCCCTCCTCCCTTGACCTTGACGCTGCCGATCGGGGCGGAGGAGATGGGGCGCTGGGGAGGACGGCCTTCCAGATGACACGTCCTAGAAGCCGATGGGGTCACCCTTAACAAGCACACGCGTGTGGACACGGGTCCTGCTGGATGTAACGGTCTTCTGTGCGAATTTCTCTTTTGCAGAAAGAATTCCCCAAGTTTTTCACCTTCAGAGCAAGAGACCAGGTATGACCAAAAGCAGCGATGCGTCCTCTCTCCCTGGCACCTCTGACTTTCAGGAAGACAGTCCCGGATCTTAAGATATTCCCGTGCTCTAGATCATGGCAGCTTTCATGCAGACTCCCCTTCCTCTGGGGTATTTCCAAGGGGAGCCCCGAACGTCCATGTGGAGCTCAGACCTCGAGTCTTCACTGCACGTCCCTCTGTCATGTGGACAGTTTTGGACTTGCTGGTGGACTCAGAAAGGTGGTTCTCCCATCTCATTTTTCTTCTCTCTTTTTTTTAATCCTTGATTTTTAGTGAGAGTTAGACAGAGAGGGAAAGTCTAAGAGAAACATGGATGTGAGAGAAACACATCGATTGGTTGCCTCCTGCACCAGCCCCGACCAAGGCCCAGGCTGGGGAGGAGCCTGCCCCCGAGGCACATGCCCTTGACCGGAATCAAACCCGGGACCCCTCGGTCCGCAGGCCGACGCTCAACCACTGAGTCATGCCGACCGGGTGCTAGTCTCCAGCACCATCGGATGCTTCCTTTTGAGGGTGAATTTCCATTAGGAAACCCAGGGCCAGTGGCTTCTTGAGGAATACTCTGTCCCATGCCAGAGAGGAACTGCCCAGCTGTGCGGCAGTGCTGGGAGCGAGCTGGGCTCACTGGGAGCCTCCTGCCCGCACGCCGGCCTGGCATGTCCTCTGGCAAAGTCCCAGCCCTCTGGAGCCCGGGGGGTTGCTCACAATGAGACAATATAATGACCGCGCATTTCGAGGGCCAAACCCACAGACACGAGCGGACTGCGGGGCAGAGTGTGGACCAAGCAGGGTCACGGTCCAGCGTCCAACTCGCTGTGTGTCTGTGTGTCTGTCCGTCTGTCCGTCTGTCCGTCCTCTCCCCGTCGGCCTGCAGTTCGCAGAAGATCGCATTTACCGCCACCTGGAGCCCGCCCTGGCCTTCCAGCTGGAGCTCAGCCGGATGCGCAACTTCGACGTGACAGCCGTGCCCTGCGCCAACCACAAGATGCACCTGTACCTGGGCGCCGCCAAGGTGAAGGAGGGCGTGGAGGTGACCGACTACCGCTTCTTCATCCGCGCCATCATCCGCCACTCGGACCTGATCACCAAGGTACCGCGGCTCGGGGTTTCCTCCTTCCCCTGAGCCCGTCGCTCTGGCGCCGGCCCTCCCCCTGCTGTCCTGCTCCGTGCCGGCCCCGGGCCTGGAGGGGGGACTCGGGGGGCCCTGGGCACACAGCCTTTGTCAGCTCTTGGCCTTCGAGGGGGCTCTGTTGTGCCTCACACTGCCCCCTCCTGGCAGGAGGCCTCCTTCGAGTACCTGCAGAACGAGGGCGAGCGGCTGCTGCTGGAGGCCATGGACGAGCTGGAGGTGGCCTTCAACAACACCAGCGTGCGCACCGACTGCAACCACATCTTCCTCAACTTCGTGCCCACCGTCATCATGGACCCCTACAAGGTCTCTCCGGGGCCCTCGCCCGCTCGGGCTCAGATCCCGGGGACCCGGGCTCTTCGTGCCAGGCTGCCCCGGGCACCGCCTCCTGGCGCTCGAGACCGAGTGACAGGACGCGCATGTGTGTGCCCGGGCTCCGGCCTGCAGGTGGAAGACACACCCTGCACCGCTGACTCTAGAGCCACCAGCCCGGCCCGGCCCTGTCCCGCGTTCACCCTCCGTGAGTGTGCCTCACTTTGAGGACCACACGGATGCCCCAAACGTCTTGCAAAACAAAAGGGTGTCCTGTGCCGGGTCCGGGCTCTGTTGGGGACCCCCTCACCCCACTGGCTCTTTCTTCATGAGCAGGCAGGGTGTAGGGTGGTGATCGTGGGATGAAAGAAGTCCTGGTACCTCATCCTGGCATCTGTGGGGTGCAGGTGCCCCTGCCCCACCCCTCCCCCCCACTTCCCAGCAGAGAAGATGTGGGGGCTTGAGATGCATGATGGGATACAGGTGGTGTCCCAAAGGAGCACGAGCTGTTGGTCACCAGTCTCCTTGTCTTCATCTAATTGGGGAATAAAAATGCCGGCACTGCCCTAGCCAGTGTTGCTCAATGGATAGAGCATCGGTGTGTGGACCAAAGGGTCCCGGGTTTGAGTCCGGGCAAGGGCTCAGTTGCAGGCTTCTCCCCTCCTGGTTGGGGTTGGTGCAGGAGGCAACCAATCGATAGCACCCGCAGGTGTGGCTACACTGTGCCCGGGCACCGTGCCCTCGGCGTGACTTCTCTGCATTGCTGTCAGTGCAGAGCTGCCGGGGGTGCATGCCGCTGGGCTCTGACGCGGGATTCGCTGTGACCGGCAGATCGAGGAGGCTGTGCGCTCCATGGTCATGCGCTACGGCAGCCGGCTGTGGAAGCTGCGCGTGCTCCAGGCCGAGGTCAAGATCAACATCCGCGAGACGGCCGCCGACAGCGCCATCCCCATCCGCCTGTTCATCACCAACGAGTCCGGCTACTACCTGGACATCAGCCTCTACAAGGAGGTCACCGACCCCAGATCCGGAAACGTAAGGCCGGGGAGGGGTCCCGAGGTCGGGGCGGAGGCAGGCTGCCCCTCCAGCGGGATGTGGAGGGAGACACACTCGGTGGCCGCCTCGTTGGCCACGGTGGACCCGGCAGCCCCTCCGAGCTCTGATGATAAACCGGGTGGCCTCTGAGTCCCCCACGTTCATTCCCCTGGGAATACAGGGGTCCGTGTCTAATCCATTTTAGCACCACATTCGGGATCGGGTGTGGGGTGCAGCCTCCCACATCGCTTCCCTTAGGGACGTAGGTGTTTTCCACGGCCGTGCTTTAGAGCAGACATTTGCAAAGTGAATCAAGTATCCCACTTTTAGGATATCAGCTGTCTTTTCATTTGGAAATAATTACTCTCCAGAATAATTGCACAGAGAGATAAGTACAGAGATGACACAGAGAAATAAGTAGCACGGAACGTTCCCATGTACTTTCACCCACTTTCCCAGAGGTAGCATCGCATGTAACCGCAGGACCTTGTCAAACTAGGAAACTGGCCCGGGCTCAGTGGCGTTAACCCAAATTCAGACTTCCTTTGTGTTTCATCCATTTTGAGGCCCTCTTGTTTGGGTGTGAATGTGCGTGTGCATGTGCATGTGTGTGTGTGTGTGTGCACACATGCGTGCGTGTGGTACTATAATAGTTACATCCTGCCGCCGCCCCTCCTGTGCTGGCTGTAGCAGAGGAGAGATTAGCAATGCCGGCACTCGCTTTGTCCTGTGACGGGGTTTGCTCCCCGAGCTGGGATGTCTGGGATGTCACTGAGGACGTGTCTCCCTCATGCCCGGTTTCTCCTCCTTTCTGGTCCAGATCCTGTTTCACTCCTTCGGCAACAAGCAGGGAGCCCAGCACGGGATGCTCATCAACACTCCCTACGTCACCAAGGACCTGCTGCAGGCCAAGCGCTTCCAGGCCCAGTCCCTGGGGACCACCTACGTGTACGACTTCCCAGAAATGTTCCGGCAGGCAAGTCTCCTTAGGGAGAAAAGAAGTCACACGTGACCCGTGAGCAATGAGGGGTTAGGGGTGCCAACCGAAAATCCTCACTTAGCTTTTGATTCCCCCAAAACTTAGCTGCTAATCTGTTGACCAGAATCAACACAATAACACAGTTGGTTAACACCTATTTTGTATGTTACCTGTATTGCATGCTGCATTCTTACAGTAACGTAAGCCAGAGAAGAGAAAATGCATTTATAGTATTTTACTGAAGAAAATCTGAGGAAGTGAGTTGCAGAAGGATGTGTGCAGTGCGATACCACTTATTTAAAGTTTCAGTCACGCAAAAGACGACTACATGTTTAAATGTAGGCATACATGAGGAAATAAAAACCTGCAAGCATGCAGAGGGCTGGTAGACACTAAATTCAGGATGATGATTCTCTGTGGGGAGGTGTGGGGAGGAGGGTCAGGGATGGGGTACAGTAAGGGCTCCACCGCATCTTATTTGAAAAGAAAATCGTAAGCATTTCCATAAATTTCTATGGAAAATTATGATTTGATAAAACCATGAGATTTATTGTTCTGCGTGTTAAAAGTAGCTCATGATTGGCCAGTGTGGTCCAGTGGTTGAGCATCAACCTATGAACTAGGAGGTCATGGTTCAACTACCAATCAGGGTACATGCCCAGGTTGTGGGCTCGATCCCCAGTAGGGGGCATGCAGGAGGCAGCTGATCAATGATTCTCTCATCATTGATGTTTCTCTCTCTCCCTCTCCCTTCCTCTCTGAAATCAATAAAAAAAAATTTTAAATAGAAAAAGAAAAAGCAGCTCATGATTTAAAAAGAGAAAGAACTAGTAAGTGTGCCCCCCTACTGGCGACTCAGGCTTTGCTTTTTCCTCCCCTCCCCCCAGGCTCTCTCTAAACTGTGGGGCTCCCCAGACAAGTGCCCCAAAGACATGCTGACGTACACGGAGCTGGTGCTGGACCCGCAGGGCCAGCTGGTGGAGATGAACCGGCTGCCCGGAGGAAACGAGGTCAGGCCTCCGCGGAGCCCGGCGCCGGCCGGGACCGCCCTTCCCGCCAGCGGCCCCCCCCCCCCCGAAGACACCCCCCGCTTCCCCCTGCGTTTGTGTCGCCACCAGGTGGGCATGGTGGCCTTCAGAATGCACCTGAAGACCCGGGAGTATCCGCAGGGGCGGGACCTGGTCCTCATCAGCAACGACATCACCTTCCGCATCGGCTCCTTCGGCCTGGGCGAGGACCTCCTGTACCTGCGCGCCTCCCAGCTGGCCCGGGCCGAGGGCATCCCGCAGGTCTACCTGGCCGCCAACAGCGGGGCGCGCATCGGCCTCGCCGAGGAGATCAAGCACATGTTCCAGGTGGCCTGGGTGGACCCGGAAGACCCCCTCAAGGTGCGTCAGGAGCCGGGTGGCCGTGTCCTTCCGCTTGGCTGGCACTGTATCCAGGGAGAAGATGACGAAAACAGAGCCGGACCCGGGAGAGGGGAGGCGATGTGGGGAGGAGGGGTGGCAAGCACTTAGCACAGCACAGATCCTGAATTTATAGCTCTTATCAGCATGGTGTTAACGTCAGACATGTTAACATGTCGGTATGTTATTAACATCCATTCTACAGTGTTGACATGTTTTTAAAAACAGTGGCTGCCAAGGGCAGGGAAATGGATTCATAGTTTCACTGGAGAGTGTGGTGTGTGTGTGTGTGTGTGTGTGTGTGTATATCTTTTTTTTTTTTTTTTTTAAGGGATTTAAGTACCTGTACCTGACCCCCCAAGAGTACACCCGGATCAGCTCCCTGAACTCCGTCCACTGCAAACACGTGGAGGAGGAAGGGGAATCCAGGTGAGTGACTCGGCAGGCGGCTCCTGCCGTTGGCCTGGCGCTGATTCGGCTCCTCCTGGGGAATCTGCCTCTGCCTCCGGCTGTGGCGGAATTTCCAAGAGGGTGGGAGGGGGTGCATAGGGGGACCCTTGAGCTTTGGCACCGATGACTTAAAACCTGGGTGTTCTCCAAGGTGAACTCCTCCTGTCATCCCCAGATAAGCCGGGCCCCTCACAAAGATCGCGCATGACACAGGGGGAACCTGGTCAGTGTCCCGTAGTCCCCAGAGCCGCAGGCTCACAGTATAGGATCCGATTAGCCACCGACGCGGCAGTGATTGGGCAAGCCGCGAAGGTGTGTGTAGGACAGGGCTCGGCTCCGCCTGTCTCTTCCAGAGAAAGTGGAACCCACTCTGCTGCTTTAGTGAGATTGACGAAATCAGAATTTCCCCAGCTGAGTTTTCTGGAATGTTAGTTGGTGATGTGTGGGAAGGAGGAGAAGTTTCCATAATCACGTGGGTCTGGGTTAGATCCAACAAGCATCTTTCCCGAGGGCACGTGCCAGTGTCCATGACTCTCGGGCCGGTTAGGAAGTGCAGTGTCTCACCCTTAGGTGGCCAGCCTGATTGATTGGCTGTGAGCTCAGCGGCTTTCCCGTCTCTCCGTAGACCAAATGGTATCCAATTGCTGCAGGAAGAAGGCCCAGTGGGGTGGCACTTCGTTAAGACAGCCTCTGAACAGTCTTCTAGAAACTTCAGGGCCAATCACGAAGGCCCTAGGCCTCTGCTTTCGTTTCGCCTCTGGCTGCTCTGTCCCCTGCCTGCCCCTCCTGCCTCGGATTCCCCTGGACCACGTCGCGTGTTTTAACTCCTGTCTGGTTCCAGGTACGTCATCACGGACATCATTGGGAAGGACGATGGCCTGGGCGTGGAGAACCTGAGGGGCTCGGGCATGATCGCAGGCGAGTGCTCCCTGGCCTACGACGAGATCGTCACCATCAGCATGGTGAGCCTCCTCCGGCCCTACTGTCTCTTCTGTCTCCGCCTTTTCTTTTAGAAAGCTTAAAGCAGACACAGAAGGAAAGAGTTGATAACGCGGGGGCTGTCCACTGAACCACACTGGCCGGGGTACTCTGGCTTACTTTATTGTAACAATACAGCTCCTGACACCTGTAACAGAATAGCAGTTTATCAGTAGTTGTTTGGGGGGGATTGGAAGTTATTCACTGATTTTATTGGGGGGGGGGTACCTCTCCTGACTCCTGTGTTGAAAGGTCAGCTGTGTGTGTGTATACACATCCATTTATTTAGGCACAGCGTTGGACCCCCCAGAAGTTAGTAGTGTAGAGAGGTCCCGGGCCCTTTTCCCTCAGCTCCCCCGCGACGGAATCTTTCACACGAGAGAGCACACTGTCAGCCGGGACGTTGACCTTGGCACGGCACTCCCACCCGCACGGCCCCTGCCTGGATGTCCCGTGTCACACGTCCTTTTGTCGTGGGAGCGGCTGCGAGAGCTCGTGTGTGGCCCAGCTCAGAGGGGCTCCCCGCGTGCCCTGGGAGGGAGAACCAGAACATTCCGTGCTGCGGCCTGTCTAACGCACCCCTCAGGGTTGACTGGGTTACTGCTGGGACGGAGAAGCCAAGGTCACACGAGCCTCAAGGTCAGGCTTCTCCCCGCCGTTCGGCCCTGACTCCGGTTGCCGCCGTTGGTGCCCATCGGGCTCCTGCTGGGCCGGGGCGGCCTCGGGAACTCACGGGGGCTGTCTCCACAGGTGACCTGCCGCGCCCTGGGCATCGGGGCCTACCTGGTGCGGCTGGGCCAGCGGGTGATCCAGGTGGAAAACTCCCACATCATCCTGACCGGAGCCAGCGCCCTCAACAAGGTGACCCACCGCGAAGGGCTGGTCCGTTTCCGTCCCCTCGTCCCCTCCTGTGTCTTCTCAGTGTGAGACCGGTATCGTTCCCGCGGATGTGAGAGCTGTTTTCCCAGTTTGCAAATATCTGGGCCTCTTATGAATAACTTCCCCCACTCCACCCCCACCCTCCCAAAAAATGATCTGGCTTCACATTCCTGACATTTAAATTTCAAAAAATTAGTTAATTTAAAAAGTTATGCAAATTTGTAGGACAGCATGTACCTTGCGGAAAATTGGAAGAAGAGCCCAATGTCACTGCGCTCCCGCTGTAACTCTGGTGCCTTTCCCTCTCGTCTCCGCCCGCCCGTGGCGAAGCTCAGTGGATGTGCAGTGTGCTCACTCCATGGCAGCACTGCCCGCTGCTGTGAAGCTTCCAGGACAGAATGAGAGTCTCCCAGTGCACCCCAACCGGCAGCCACAGCACCCCCTGGGGGCTGGTTAGAGATACAGATCCTCAGGCCAATTCCCAGGCCCGGTCCCAGCCCACTGAGCCAGAAACATAAGGGAGGGCTTTGCCTTTTTTTTATTTGTATTGATTTCAGAGAGGAAGGGAGAGGGAGAGAGAGAGAAACATCGATGATGAGAGAATCATTAATGGGCTGCCTCCCGCACGCCCCCTGCTGGGGATCGAGTCTGCAACCCGGGAGTGTACCCTGACCAGGAATGGATCTGCGACCTCCTGGTTCATAGGTCCATGCTCAACCCCTAAGCCATGCCATTCGGCAGGTTTTGCTTTTGAGATGACCACAGTCATCATAAGTAATTGTAATCAAGGTACTCAAAGGACACCCTACTTCTCAAATTGGGTGCATGTTGGAATTACCTATAAGTTAAAAAACACCAGAGGCTCTAATATAATCGGACCGCGTACAGCCCGGGCATCCGGGTGTGTAAAAGCCCCCAGTGATTCCAGCGTGCAGCCCCGGGTGAGACCACCGAGGGGGATGGTGCCCGGGCCGGGCAGGACTGGCTGACCCTGCCGTGTCTATGCAGGTCCTGGGCAGAGAGGTCTACACGTCCAACAACCAGCTGGGCGGCGTGCAGATCATGCACAACAACGGCGTCTCCCACATCACCGTGCCCGACGACTTTGAGGGTGTTTACACCATCCTGGAGTGGCTGTCCTACATGCCCAAGGTGCGGCCCCCCCGCCGCCCAGGGCCCGGAGGCGCTGCCATGGCGACCATGGCTGCGTGGTGGGGAGGGAGCACGGGGAGCAGGGAGCCCTGCAGGTGTGGCGGGTGAATGTTTCTTTATCCCTCCCTGCCTCCTTCTTTCCCTCCCTCCCTCCCTCCCTGGCACCCAACCCTGTGCTCGTTGTTCTTGGCCTTAAAAAGAAAAAGAAATGGCCAGTGTTGCTATTGGTTGATCCTTTAGAAGGGGATGGGCTAGATTTGATTCCTGGCTTCCCCCTCAGTAGCAGTCAGACCTGGGGACAACTGAGCCTCAGTTTCCTCATCTGTGAAATGGGCACAACAATAGCCCCTACCCCCAGAGTGTTACCCTGATGATGAAGTGAAATGACGTTTGGAGCCCAGATCTTGGTGGGCCCTCGGCAAAGGCTACTCAGAACCGCAGAGATGAGCTCATTTGGGTTCGGCTTCTGCTGGGCGGGCAGCCGTAGTCACGGTCAGAGAAGAGAAGCGCAAGGGGCAGGTCGCAGGTGTTGCTGACAAACCGGGGAACGGAGTTGGAGACCCGGCTTTCTTTTCCAGGACAATCACAGCCCGGTCCCCATCGTCACTCCCACTGACCCCATTGACAGGGAGATCGAGTTTTGCCCATCGAGAGCCCCCTACGACCCCCGGTGGATGCTTGCAGGAAGGTCTCACCCAAGTAAGTCCCGGGCATTTGCCTGAGACCTGGGGCTCGGATGGAGGTTTTCCCTGTGCCTTTCCGAGTGACAGACCGAGGAGGACGGAACCGAGGAGGATGGGGCTGAGGGGTGGCGATGAGGTACAGGGCAACGAGGTCATGACCCCCCGCCCCCGGCCCCGGGGTGTCCAGGTGCGGAGTCCCGGCCGACACATCAGGATTTGGAGGACTGCTCCTCTCTGCTTTCCCTCCTCCTCCCTCTCTCTCTCTCTCTCTCTCTCTCTCTCTCTCTCCATATATATATATATATATATATATATATATATATATATATATCTCTTTCTCTCTCTCTCTCTCTCTCTCTCTCTCTGGTTAAACCTTCACAGCGGAGCTGTCTGTGTGTTTACCCAGGACAGGCAACTTCACCTCTTCTACATACATGCACACACACATGCAGATACTCGTGTGCACACATGTTAGTCCATGCACTTGCACACACATATTCTCTCCCTCTGCGAAAGCAGCAGGTCTGTCCCTGGAGGATATGATTACACTGAGCGCCCAGAACAGGACAGGAAATCCGAGCTCCTGAGGCTCGGCTTTCACAGGCTGCGCCTTCAGCATCCGGCCTCTCGCCCCTGCCAGCCAGGAGCCCCGAGCTGGCTCCCCCTCCCCCGTTCCTGCCGGCCCTTCTCACCTGGGCGCCCGGAGGGGGCTGGCTTTGTCTTGATATAAAAATGCCCCGCTTCTTGCTGACGGTTTTCTCTATCTGGCCGGGCCAGGCCTGGGCTGACCGTGACGTGGGGCCGCCTTGTTCCCACACCTGCCACCTGAGACCCTCCCGCCGCCTGTGCTTCTTATCCGACCGCAGTCACCCACCCGGGGTGTGGTCACCCCCTCCCTCCAGGAGCCGCAGCCGACATATCATCTCTCTCTCTCTCTCTCTCTTTCTGGGAAACTGAACACATTACTCTGTTAAACGGGAGGTTCAGTGTTATTAAGCTACAGCCAGCAGGTTGGGGGTCACGGATGAGTTTTTCGGGTCAGATGGTCCCTTTCTGACAGCCACCCCCTGAAGGCGCCCTCAGCTGTTTGCCTCCTGGGAAGCAGCAGAGCTGGGCCGAGGCCTCTCTGTGTTTGGCTTTGATGGGGATCGAAGTGGTCGCATATCCTGTATGGACCGAATTCCTGACTTGGTATACATTTTGCAGGCCTGTCTATTTTTTATTTTTATTTTTTAAATTTGTATTTTTTATTTGTTTATTTCTTTGCAAGGGGTTGGGATCTGTGTCCTGTTCTGGGGGGGGAAAGGCATTTGGGGTCAAGGTCAGGCTGCCCTTAGAGAAACCACAGAACAGTCCGCCCTCTCCAGTGGACCCTGGGGGTCCTCGCCCGCCCGGCCCCTCAGCCCGGGCTCCTGCCTTCTGCCCGCAGCTCTGAAGGGGACCTGGCAGAGTGGATTCTTTGACCAGGGCAGCTTCAAGGAGATTCTGGCGCCCTGGGCCCAGACCGTGGTGACGGGACGAGCAAGGTAACCTGAGGGCGGGCAGGGTTTTGTTCTACAAACTTCCTGGGTGCTGGGACAGGGGCCCAGCGACACTCTTCGTGGCCCCGGATTTTCCGAAGGGAAGACTTAATCCTGAGCTCCGTCATAAAGTCTAGATTTGTCTGTCTCAGGCGCTTCCGGCTGGGAGCTGGGCTCCTTGCCCCTCGTCCGCCCCTGGGACAGGGTGCTCCAGCCAGGGGCCACCGACCCCGTAGGGACTCGGAGGTGGCCCTGGAGTCTCGGCGGAAAACCACACAGACGCTCACACTGGACTCCGCTTCCGGAGGGCAGGATCCTGGTGTCCAGCGTAGCTAGTGACAGGCTTACCTGCTTGGCCCCGTGCCCTCCGCTTCCCGGTGCGACTGGTGTCTAGACCGGGGTGCCCACACCGGGCTCGCCTGTCTTCGCCTCGCAGGCTGGGGGGCATCCCTGTGGGAGTGATCGCCGTGGAGACGCGGACGGTGGAGATGGTGGTGCCCGCAGACCCCGCCAACCTGGATTCCGAGGCCAAGGTGAGGCCGGGGGGGCGGCGGGGAGAGGGGGGCTGGGGCTGCTGTTTCGGCGGCTCAGGCACAGGTGTGGGCCCAGGTGGTTGTGAATCTGCCTCTCCAGCTCAGACTCAGAGGAGACGGCCTGGGCCTCAGTGCCATTTCCCCAGCCCTCTCTCTGCGGTGGAGAGCCTTCCATATCAGCTTCCTCTTCCCTCAGGGGATGGCAGAGGGCCCCGGGTCCCCCCGTCTCTCGCCCATCCCTGGGGAAGTTCCAGGGTTGGGCCTCTGGGAGGAGCTCAGGAGCCAGGGGCCGGTCCTAGGACCGGACTCGGCTCAGGCCCCTCTGAGCCTGTAAATGGGCAGAGGGCCTCAGGCTGCAGTGGGGGTGCCCTCCCAGGGAGCCTGGCTCTGGAGCCGGTGCCCGCCGTCCCCCGTTGAGGCTGCCCCTGCACAGAGGGTCTCACGGGCTGGCTTTGTGCAGATCACCCAGCAGGCGGGCCAGGTGTGGTTCCCGGACTCCGCCTACAAGACGGCCCAGGTCATCAAGGACTTCAACCAGGAGAAGCTGCCCCTGATGATCTTTGCCAACTGGAGGGGCTTCTCTGGGGGCATGAAAGGTGAGGCAGCCTCCCCGGCAGGACCCCCTCGGGGCGGTGACCATGGTCCCATCGTCGTCTTAGCTGAGGCCCCCCACCCCCAACCCTGAGAACGGGAGCAGTTCTGGAAACAGCCCATTTCACAGATGGGAAACTGAGGGTTCCTGGTGGGACTTGCCTGAGGTCACGCCGTGAGTGAACAGAGTGGCTCAGTGGCTGAGTGTTGACCTATGAACCAGGAGGTCACGGTTCAATTCCCAGTCGGGTGCATGGCTGGGGTGCAGGCTGGATCCCCATTGTGGGGCGTGCAGGAGGCAGCTGGTCAATGATTCTCTCTCATCATTGATGTTTCTATCTCTCTCTCCATATCCCTTCCTCTCTGAAATCAATAAAAATATATATTTTTAAAAAACCCACCGATGGTTGAGCCCCCGTGCCCAGGCCGGTCCTGACTCTGAGCCCAGGCTCTTTTCCCAGAACCGTGCAGCCTCCCAGGTGAACACACTTCCCAGACCCCCCAGGACAACACGCTCTGCCTGCGGTGAGCGCCTCAGGCCGTCGCTTGCCTTTCAGACATGTACGACCAGGTGCTGAAGTTCGGGGCCTACATCGTGGACGGCCTCCGGCAGTACCGCCAGCCCATCCTCATCTACATCCCGCCCTACGCGGAGCTCCGGGGCGGCTCCTGGGTGGTCCTGGACTCCACCATCAACCCGCTGTGCATAGAGATGTACGCGGACAAGGAGAGCAGGTGGGTGCCCCCTCCGCCCGGCCCAGCCTGCCCGGGTTCTCACTCTGAGCCACTGGCGTGGCATCTCGGGGGCGCTTTGAGATTCTGAAGGACCGAGTGCATCCAGTTTAACCTGAAACTCGTGTCCAGGGACCAGTTGGGTTTTTCTCAGTAGAGCAAGTGGCTGAAGCAGAGAGGCGGTGGAGGAATTGTCTGTTCTTTCTTAGCTCACACCTCTCTGCTCCCCAAGGAAGTTTGCAGTCAAGTGAGGAAGGACCAAAAGCACCTGAGCTCCCTGGCAGCCAGGATGAAAAGGGAAATATGACCAGTCCTCTGGTTCTCACTAAACTCGGAGTCTCTCCCAAAGCTCTGAGTTCCTGTAGTGGCTGTATTTTACCAACTTTTATAACCCCACCTCTTTTTTCCTCAGGGGGGGCGTTCTGGAGCCGGAGGGGACCGTGGAGATTAAGTTCCGGAAGAAGGACCTGATAAAGGCCATGAAGAGGATCGACCCGACGTACAAGAAGCTCGTGGAGCGGTTAGGTGCGAGGTCCCCGGGCGCCAACCCCCGCCGTCAGGGGCCCACAAACAGCTACAGACTCGGGAGATATTTTAAATGTTCACACACAGCAAGTCGGCCCCATCTTGCCCTTGTGGGGGTGCTTCTGGCCCTGCAGGAGCCGCTTGATTTGGGGGTGCGATCCCAGTTAGAGCTCGGGCTTCCTGCGCCCAGGCCTGACCTGCAAACTCTGGTTTGTGCCCCGGCCCCCGCAGGAGCGTCTGATCTCTCCGACAAGGAGAGCAGGGACCTGGAGTGCCAGCTGAAGGCCCGGGAGGAGCTGCTGCTGCCCATCTACCACCAGGTGGCGGTGCAGTTCGCCGACCTCCATGACACGCCGGGCAGGATGCTGGAGAAGGGGGTCATCTCCGTAAGCCACTGGGCTTCCCGCTCGGGGGGGGGAGAGCTGGGCTCAAACCCTGCATGCCAGCCTCACCCGAGCATCCCAGAGCCCCTGTCCAGACCAGTTAAATCAGGATTTCAGCAGTGGGAGTCCGACCTCAGTATTTCCCCCACCAAATCCCCAAGCGATTTCAACAGGCAGTGAGGTTTGGGACCGCCAGTCTGTGTGTGGCTGTACCTGCCGAGCCAGATGTGGGAAGGGTGGTTTCTGCCCGGGGTTCGCCCACCTCTGGCCATCGTAACCCCCGTCCCATGGCCCCACCTCCGAGAGGACGTTCCATGTCAGTCACCTGCTAGCCCCTGCCTCTGGGAAGCCCGTTCAGCGTCCTGGCAGAGTCCTGCCTTTGCCGCTGCTCGGGCGGGTGCCTTCCCCTCCCCGGGCCTCAGCTTCCCGGCCTGTGAAATGGGCATGATCCCGGGCAGTGGGGGCTCAGCCGGGGCCCGTCCGCAGGACGTGCTGGAGTGGAGGACCTCGCGCACCTTCCTGTACTGGCGCCTGCGCCGCCTGCTGCTGGAGGAGCAGGTGAAGAAGGAGATCCTGCAGGTCAGCGGCGAGCTCAGCCACGTGCACATCCAGTCCATGCTGCGCCGCTGGTTCGTGGAGACGGAGGGCGCCGTCAAGGTGGGCCAGGCGGGGCGGCGGCGGCGGCGGGCGGGCGGGCGCTGGTGGGCCTGCAGCCCGGGCCCCCTCTGAGGCAGCCTCTGCCCCCCAGGCCTACCTGTGGGACAACAACCAGATGGTGGTGCAGTGGCTGGAGCAGCACTGGCAGGCAGGCGACGGCTTGCACTCCACCATCGGCGAGAACATCAAGTACCTGAAGCGGGACTCCGTGCTCAAGACCATCCGGGGGTGAGTGGCTTGTCCAAGGTCACGGCCGGAGGACCCGCGGGCCTTGGGCTGTTGGCTCCTGTTCGGATCAGCCTTTCAGGAGGACTTGCTTCCCCCATTCTCACGGGGTCCCCTGGGAGGAAGGAGGTAGGCCGTTTGGGGCATGAAGCTGAGGTTCGGGTCTCAGTAACACAGCCAGGGCCCTGTAGGGTCCCCTGCCGTTCCTCGAGGCGGCCTGAGCCCCAGGCCATATCCTCTCCTGCCCCCTACGGGCCCGTCACCCCCGTGGCGACCACAGAGGAAGAGGTTGGGAGCTCGGGGTTCTTGCCCGCCCAGGAAGGTGACGTGGCCCTGCACAGCGATTCTTAGGGCCACGCTGGGTGACCCCAACCCTTCTCTCCCGCCCCCTGCAGCCTGGTCCAAGACAACCCCGAGGTGGCTGTGGACTGCATGATGTACATGAGCGAGCACATCAGCCCGGCCCAGCGGGCCCAGGTCGCTCACCTCCTGTCCACCATGGACAGCCCGGCCTCCACCTGAGCGCCGGCCGCTGGCCGCTCGCAGCACCGCGGGCAAGAGGAACCGCCCCGGCCCGCCGGCCGCAGGCCCCTGCCAGGACCGCGGGGTTTGCTTCTTAAAACGGAAAGTTCCCGGCATTTCTGCAGGGCTGCTGGCTCCCAACTCACTCCTGTCCCAATAAACCGCGCAGGAGCGCCCCCTCCCGGCGGAACGCGCCTCCTCCCGTTGCCGGGAGTGTTTGTCTCTGAAGACTGTCTGCTGCATCACTGAATGAATGGAACCCCAGCGCCCGAGCTCCCTTCCCTTTGGGGGTCGTTTTATACCAGATCATGGGATGTTATTTTTTTACTCGGACACCGGCTCTCGCTGTAAACATCTGCATTTCAGCAGAACACAGAGGCCAAGGAAAGAAAGAAAGACAAGACAAAGAAGAGAAACCTATTTTTGTAACGATGCTGTTTGGAGACTGTCCAGCTGCCCGGGCGAGGGTACCCGTGGTTTTTATTAAGAGAATAAAATGGAATCTTGTTCCCCGATGTCCCCTAGTGAGTCGCAAGAGATGGCCCATCGGCAGGCCGTGCTTAGCGCTCAGGGGCAGAGATCCCATTTGGGGAAAGGAGATGAGAACTAGCGGAATTGCCCCGGGGGAAGGTCCCGGACGCATGGAGATCTCTACTGAGGGCTCACAGCCCCCTGCCCGCCCCTCCCTCTGAGGACAAGGACCAGCCGTGGTGGGTCCCCCACTCCCACCCGGGACTGGCCACCCTTTCCCGGTGCCCTCCTGCCCTGTTGGGACTGCAGAGGCGGCAGAGCCGCCCAGACTCACAGCCTGCCTGCTCACAGGTGTTACCACTGGGATGGCCGCCACCGCATGGGGGCCCTTCCGGTCACCATCAGCCTCCTCCGGTGCCTGGGTGTCCGTGCGGCATCCGGCCCGAGGAGCAGAGCTGCTGGTCTCCCAGGCCGGGCACAGGACCTCGCCGATTCGCTCAGGGAGCCTTTGCGTGTGACACGCCCACCAGCACAGCCTGCAGGCTGCACAGCGCCCGCCAGGCCAGCCCTCCCGGCTCACCCGTCCGTCCGGGGGCTGGCCTCAGGGGAGGGGCGGGGGGGGGGTAGCTGGCCGCCCCCACTGCAGTGACGGGCAGTTTGTCAGAGAACATCCAGCGGGCCGCCTGGCCAATTTGGAGGACAAAGGGAAGCCCCTGCACGCCAGATGCTTGAGGCTGTCTTGAGTTTTTTAAAAAAATAGTCTGGTCACCAGCTGATGACATCGCTGGCGTGGGGCGGCGAGGGGAGACGGATGGATCACGCCATCCCGAGGCCTGGGAGGCGCCCGTGCTGCCCTGCGAACCGAGTTTCTGTGTCGGGGACGCCCCGCAGTTCTGCGGGGAGAGACCGGGGACGACCAGCTGCTACCCAGGGGCGGGGCGGAGGGACCTGCCGCGGGGCGTGTGGAATAAATTATTTTTTAAAGGAAGCACCTTGGCCTTGACTCAATATCTGGATCAACGAGGGCAGCCCGCCTCCCCGAGCGATTCCCCTCCCCGACCCTGAGCTCGCCATCTTACATCCCACCGTCAGCACGCAGGCTCCGGCTTCATCCCCACCAGCCCTTGCTTCACGGGCTTTTTCTTAAAAAAAAAATTTTTTTTTTTAATTTAATTTCAGAGAAGGGAGAGGGAGCGCGAGAGAGAAACATCAGTGATGAGACAGAATCGCTGATCGACTGCCTCCCGCAGGCCCCACCCTGGGGATCGAACCTGCAATCCGGGTACGTGCCCTGACTGGGAATCAGACCGAACCTCCTGGTTCATAGGCCAACACTCAACCCTGGAGCCAAGCCTTTTCCTTTTAAAAGTAGCCATCCTGCCGAAGCCGGTTTGGCTCAGTGATGGAGCGTCGGTCTGCGGACTGAAAGGTCCCGGGTTCGATTCCGGTCAAGGACATGTACCTTGGTTTTGGGCACATCCCCGGTGGGGGGTGTGCAGGAGGCAGCTGGTCGATGTTTCTCTCATCGACATTTCTAGCTCTCTATCCCTCTCCCTTCCTCTCTGTAAGAAATCAATAAAAAATAAATAAAATAAGTAGCCATCCTAATAGGTGTCGCCTAGAAGTAACTTTAACTCAGACGTCACTGAGTCTTCTTACTGGCACCTCCCCAACATCCCAGACGGGATGGGCACACACCATCAGCCAGTCTCCGTTCCTGGATCCATCTGCCCCGTGCCCCTCCCTCACCCGCCCCGCTGCTCCTGCCCAGGCTGCCACCCTCCCTGCCTTCCGCCCAGGAAGCTCTCACGCCCCAGGCCTCAGTCTGGTGTTTGTCCTGTTCTCTCCCCCCTCTCCCCACCCCGCCCTCGAGACTTGGCTCTCTGGCATCTATTCCCAGAGGAGGAGCAGGTGGGCACGGCCAGCAGCGTCCAGAGCCTCGTGCTCCGCTCTGGCCCTGACCCTTCCCCTTTCCCCAAACCTCCGTGATGAGCCAGCGCTGCACTGGGCGGAAGGAGGCGGCAGCCGGCAGCCTGGGCTCGGACCCCACAGTGTGACCTCACAGGTTCCCCCCGGCCGCCAGCCGGGCCCTCTGAGGCTGAGGCCGTGGGGAGGAAGGCCGCCCGGATCCGTCCTGCCTGTCACGCGTCACAGGTACGCACTCGGCCACTCTGAGCCTCAGTTTCCGTTCCTGTGAGAAGGGGGATGTGTGTTTCCTGTCGTCCACACCCACCGAAGGACCACAGACGCAGGGGCTTCAAAACCACACGTTTATTTTTTTACAGCTTTGGCCGTCAGAAGTCAGCGTGGGGCTCAAGGGGCTCAAACCAGGGCGCCAGGGGGTTGGGTCCCCGCGGAGGCTCCGAGGGAAGATCCGGTTTTCGGTTTAGTTTAGGTTGGTTTGTTGTTGTTTGTTTTTTTCCACCGTCAGAGCTGACACGGACCCTCCCGCCGCCCTCTCTTCCTGGTGAGGGCATTGGGCTCACCTGGCGAGTTCAGACGGCTCGCTCGCTCTCCAGGGCAGCTAATCCGCACTCCGAACCCCACCTGCCCCCTCAGTTCCCCGCCATGTAACTCGGCCTTCGGTTCTGGGGCTGAGGATTCTGAAGACTCTCCCGCCCAGCAGGGGGGCTGAGGAGGAGGAGTGAGGCCCCCTCCCCTGCACCTTACGTTCCCGGTGTTTGATGACCTTTGTTGTCAGAATGTGGGCGATCTCTCACCGCCTCTGAGCCTCCGTGACCTCCTCTGGGGAATGGGGAGCCGGGGCTCCAGGGAGAGGCCGCTGCGAGTGCTCTGCCCTCCAGCCGGTGGCCTGTGGGGCTCCGGTGGGGGGGGGGTGCCTCCTGTTAGCCCCCCAGCTCCAGAGCGAGCCCCCCCCCGCCCCTCCACGCCCTCCTCCAGGGTCAGCCTCCGCATGTTTGCTCAGGCTTTCTCCTCCCAGGTCCCGCCCCCAGAGGGCGCCCTGTCCCATCGCTTCTGGAGCACCCTCGGGTGGCGCTCTGGACGGTTGTGACCCACATGCCTCGGCCACTTGCCCTCTGACTCCAGCCAGTCGCTGGGGCCGCTGGGGGCTAGTGAGGTGTCCTTTGGCCAGGCCTGGGCCACAGGGTCGCCCGGAGCCAAGCTGAGAAGCAGGTGCTGGGGAGAAGGCAGCCTCTCCCTGCCATCCGCCTGGTCTCCACTGGGGGGCCCCCTTCAGCACTGCCTCAAGCACCCCAACCCGTCCTCGCATTCCCTCTCACTTGCTGATTGTGTGTGTATGTGTGTGTGTGTGTGTGTGTATCTGGCCTCCTACTTCCTGGGTGGGCTTAAGAGTTAGACTCCTAATCACATCCTTTTGCTGTTATGTTGAGTAGCAAGTCACTTGCTTAACCTCTGAGCCTCTCTCTCTCTCTCTCTCTCTCTCTCTCTCTCTCTCTCTCTCTCTTTTGGTTAAAGTGTTACATATGTGTCCTTATCCCCCCATCGCCCTCCCATCCCATCCCTCAGGCTCTCACCCCCCTGGTGTCTGTGTCCTGAGTTTCTTCATTTGCAAAATGGGTGCAGTAATGAGTGACATGCTTCCCGAGTTTCTTCATTTGCAAAATGGGTGCAGTAATGAGTGACATGCTTGCCAGTGCTGTAGTGAGGATTGACAGCTGGTTCGCGCAGGGCCCAGCCCAGGCCCGGCGCTGTGCGTGTGCAGAGGCAGCTCCGCGTCCTCGCGCCGGCCCGGCCCCGGCCCCGGAGCTGCCTCCTCACCTGGCCCAGAGTCCTCCCCACCCCTCCTTTCCCGGCGGCGATGGGGCTCCCCTCCCCGCCTGAGCTCGCCCGTCAGGGGCCTGGCACTGGGGGACAGTGAGCGGCAGCCGTGCCAGTGTACTGATGGTGACAGTCTCCTCCCGGTTTCGGGGTGATGGGAACCTGGCATCAGAAGACCTGGGTTCCGTGTGGCCGTGGTGTCACCTCTCTGGACCTCAGTTTCCCCACCTGTAAATAGGGTCCGCCCCGCCCATCCCTCCCTGGGAGCCACAGAGCTGCCGTTCAGCCTTTATTGACAGACAAGTTATCCAATACTACGCTTACATAATCTTCATTAACACCATATGGTGGTGTGGGTCCCACAAAGCAGCCGGCAGAGCGGGGCAGCCGGGCAGCACTGGGCTGTGTCTGGGGATAGAGATGCTCGGCGGAAGCTTCCAGAACGAGGAGGGCCTTAGAGATGCTTCTTCAAGACGGGACTGAACCCTCAGTCTCCCCGGCGGCTGGCTGACCTGCCGGTTCACTGGAAAGTTCTGGCTCTCGGATTGGGGGGACCCCCCCCCCGAAACATCTAGTTGGTCAAGAGGGCACAGGGGCTCAAGCCACTGGCAGGGAGATCCCCCATGCCTTCCTCCTTCCTCCTTCCTCCGAGCCACTCACCTGGCTCCCTCCGACCCAGCTGTCTGCAGAGCCCGCCGGGAAAGTCAGTCATTGGCAACAAGAGGGGAAAACCCCATTGGAATGGCCGCAGGCAATGGGACAGCGGGGGCCAATGGAGACTACATCGCAGCTTCGCCCTCCCCCAACCCCCACCTGCTCCTCTCGTTCAATCCGATCGGCCCTTAGCAGGCCCTGGCGGCCCCAGAGCTGGGCACCTCCCCTCTTGGTCCAGCGGGGAGAGATGGGGATCGCGGCGGAACCGTTAGGAACTCTCCGGTCTCTAAGTTTTCAAGACGGGATGGCCCACATCTCAAAAGTGCTGTTCCCTCCAGGAGCGGCCGGGGCCCCTGACGGGGATGAGGAGCCGGAGGGAGACGGGGTTCTCGGAGAACGTGGGTGCTCCGATTGCCGGGATGCGGGCTGGACCCGAAGAGGAGGTGTGACTGGGCTCCGATAAATATAAATAAATGCACACGGGTCATGGCGCGGCCCGGGAATCTGCTCTATGGACGGCTAGCACACTACAGCCGACGTGGGCCTGGAGGCGGCTGGGGGAGGGGGGCACCCACTTCCGAGTTCAGCCTCTTCCAGTCCAAGAGAAGGCGGGTGGCCACTTGGGCCTTCAGGGCCTGTCCACTGGAGGATGTCCCCTCTCCTCCAGGCTTCCTGTGGAGGTGTGTGTGTGTGGGGGGGGTGTCGGGGTGCCAGCAGCCGCCCAGAGGCTCAGCCCCGTGGGAGGGGGAGGCTCTCTGAGGCCAGGGTTGGGGGGCGAGGCCAGCGCTCACAGCAGGGCGATGGGCTTGTTGCCGGGGGCGCCCAGGTACTGAGAGGAGGAGGCGAGTACAGCGTCCGGGGCCACGCTGTCTGGGGCCGCGTACGCCGCGTACAGACCCGTCACCTGCAGGTCCGGGAAGGGCTGGTCGCTGCTGCCGGAGACGGGGGCCAGGCCCGGGGCCCCCAGCTCGCAGCCGAGGGGGGAGTCTCCGAAGGCCCCCAGCGCGTCCAGGCTGAAGCCCTCGTCCTTCATCTCCTCCCAGAGGTTCCCTTCCAGAGACAAAAGCGTTCAGTGAGCGGCTCCTGGGGGCCCCGGGGTCCAATCCCCTCTCAGGGGACCGGGACCCCGTGTGGTCGGAGAAACCCCTGGAGGGGTCAGAGCTGCAGCACAGCCCTTACCCTCCCAGGGGCGCCCCCGGGAACGTCAGCTCGGGCTCCCCCGGATGCATGGTGCCACCTGAGAACCCGCCCCCTAAACCAGGGGTGCGTGGAAGCACTGAGCCCGCATTCAGGGGTACCATCCTGGTCAAAGCCCGAGGACAGAACAGGTCAACAACTCAAGAATGGGGGGCG